GGTGTCGAGCTCTCGGATTTAAAGTGAAAGAATTTCATCTCTTTTCACTTTAGTCGTGTTTATTTTCTTCTTACGTACAATTCATTTTTTTTTCTTATTTGTAATTAACAGCCAATATTCATTTACAATCAGATTATTGATAACTAGAGTTGACTAATTACATTCAAAGAATATAAATAGAGAGAAAAAAAAATATTTATGTTATGCTATAAAATTCATAATCCAAAAGTATATATACAATATCCACATATGCTACAAAAGTATACATAAAATCAAAGAATTCAAAAAAATTAAACTAGCATCACTGTCTAGCCTCACACTACAGACTACTTACATTTATTTGAAATCATATAAAAATCACTAATGGGTATAAAATCTAAGCAAATATTTAATACTTGTCATTGTATTCAATTTAAGGCAAAAGAATTAATATGTCTGTTCTATTTCAATTGATAAGTGTAAATTTTATACTTTTATATCATGTTTGAATTTCAATGAAAATGTATTGTTTTAGTTATTTTTTTATAGAAAAAACTAAAAAAATGGTTAAAAGTATAAAGGAATAGGTAGCGTCGCGGCGCCAAAGGAAACATTGCCATCATGCTCCATTCAACATCGTCGAATTGTCACTTTTGCACATTGCAGTGCCATGATCTTTGTTTGCGAGCACTGCAGCGACATCACAGTCAGCACTGCAACGGTTGAAGCATCGTTGCATCAACAAATTAGTTTGGCAGCACTGGGCGCAGGCACTGGGGAAAACATTTCAGAGCCGAGCTGTTAGTTCACTTTCGAGCACTGCAACGCTACACACTTTCAAGCGTTGCAGTGCTATTCACCTTTTATGTATTTTTCTATAAATAGATGCTATATTTTGATATTACAAATCACTTGTGTAAAATTTAATACTTTTCAAAGTGCTGCTCTAGTTCCTCTTAAAGTAAAATTTAAAGAAGACTAGGGAAGAACATGATACAATCTATTAGAGTCTCTAGCATGTATTTGTTGAAGCAACTCTGTAAGTGAAGAAATAATGAGTGTAAAGGAGATACTTTATCATACATAATGATAAAATTCCGCAATTTCTCTTGTATTTTGATTCTTATATGAATACACTGAAAATAATTTTGCTTATTATTTATTCTATATATGGCTAGATCTCTTATTTTGGATTGATGATGTAAATATCAAATTAACTACTAATGAAGACTCTTATATATTAAAGATTTAATGATGTTCTCAATTATCTTACATTCCTCATTTAATGCACATAGTGATCATGCATGTAGTTAAAATATAGCATTATGTATAACCTCGACAGAGAAATGCAAGAATAATAATGAATATTGAGATAGAATGTTGGCATGCCTAGACATAGGATGTTTAAATATTATAGGTTCTAAATAAGATATTATAACTATAGTAGGTCAACATATATCATTTTTACCCCTAAAAGTTTGATAGAGATCTAATAATGCTCATGCTACGAATCACTTATTTAATTAAAAATCTCATTATAAAAATATGAAATTTTGCATTATCTTATTAAACATTATATCAACTATTCGACTATTTTTATACAGTGATAAAATTTCAAAATTGTTATTTTTATTTAAGTATGATAACTTATCATTTAGAGTAAGTAGTAATAATTTTTGTTGCAAGTAAACATAACACTTGCTCGTGGGTTCAACACTCTACTTCATCACTTTATTAGTTGATTTAACACTTATACTTACATATAATTAAGTGGACTTTCATTATTGACATATAAAAAAAAAATCTAAGAATTATTCAGTATTGACATAACAAGCATTTATTACATAGTCTGTAATAAAGCTTTGCTTGCTTGAATACATGCATAAGTCCACCCCATCATCAATCAATAATTAATAGTCTATCAGTGTAATCAACAAGAAATCTATAAAATTCATATCAATCAATAGTAAAATTAATATGATAAAAAAGGCAAAAAGATCTATAAAATTCTAAGAAAAATTGATAAAAAAGATTATCAATTAATGAGTCATGATATCAGTATAATATACTATAACTTATCAATATTAATGATAGTTCAATAAGTTCTATATCAGTTGCATCTATAAATTAATTCATATCCTATCATGTCAATACAATCATGAATGTAATCATAAATAGCAAGACATGATATTCAGCTTTAATGTGTTATTTTCATCCTTCCACCCCAACTGTCGCCCAATTTATTATTAGTCATTAATTTAACCCAACTATTGATTAGTTGGTCATCGATTTGTATTTTGTCATCATTATTCATTATCTTAAGTCAATTCACATGTAGCTTTTAATAATCATTTAATAGTCGTTATCATCTATTCATTAGCGTAATTCATTCAATAGATTACATGTTACAATTAGGATTACACCATAAAAAATTTATTTTAAGAAAAGTCTATCAGCCCATCCTCCTGCACAGGATACTATATTTTAAGAGTCAATTCAAATTAATTATAGTGTTAACAGTTAGTCTTTTTTTGGGCGCTTACATGCAAATGATGCATTTTTTTATATCAGTTGAATCAGTTCCTCTCTTTAATGCATGAAATGTAACATAAAATACATGAATCTATAAAACAAAGGAAAAAAATGTATACTAGTTAATAGCTTTATATATATATAACTTTCATTTTATCAAGTGAAATTCAATAATGTTATAGCCAAAATGCTCACACAATTCATATCTATCATATACAAAAAATTACACGATAAAAACTTGTTAAATCAAGAAAATATACATTTTTAGCTTATTAGAGAGAGATAAAAATATTAGAAATTAAAATAATAAAAAACAGAAGTAAAAGTATAGTCAATTATTTCAATTAAAACAAATTTTATAACATGAACGTCACCTGAAAAATCCCATGAGAGTTTCCTTTCTCTTCTCTTCTCTTCTCTTCTTCTTCTTTTCCTTTCCTTCCCAGCCAAGCAAAACAAGTGAGGAGACACTAGGGGTGATGATAGGGATTTTTAATTTAAATTTGTATTAAAAACTCATTTTAATACCTGGTGTCATGGTTCCCAAGGAGTCCAGTGCTGCTGCACTGCATATTGAATCAAGAATACTATGGACAAAAACTCTTAGTGCCACAATGGCAGTTTTTGGGGCCACAACGCTCTCAGCGCCGCAATGCTCTATGTAGATTTTTATATTTTTAATTTTAAAACATTTTTAAAAATTTTTGGTTGTTCCAAATTGTATGTCCATGTAGTCTCTCACCCTCTTGAGTGTTTTGAGTAAAACCAATGTACATCTTTTAACTAGTTGGAGGCTCCTACATTTCACCCCTCTTTTTTCCCTTCACGTGGGCTATGCATGCCATGTGCTACAAAGTTTTAGGTGACATTTTTTAACTGGACAAATTAATAAAGTGCACAAGGAACATATTGTATAGGCATTAATAATGAACATGGACTAAATAAAAATGGACTTCAAATAAATCTACTCAATTTTGAAATGAAATAAAAAGATGAAACTCAATCATTTAGATTTGATAGAACTCCATTTTACTAATAGAATATCATTTTTTTTTAAAAAAAAAACTAGTGTCTAAATTGATAAAGAGAAGTGAAATGTATCACTCTAAACCTTTTGACCATTCAACATTCTGAGGTACATAATTAATCCACACTGTTGCGTGCTAGAATATACGCGGCGGTAGAGTTAGAAAATATTCGTCTTAGCGTTGCACGAGTATTCCGCACACAAGCAGAAAAGAGAAATGAACACCAGAGTTTTTACGTGGAAAACCCAAAAAGGGAAAAAACCACGGGCCTCGCCCAGTTGTAAAGTTTCACTAGTGTTTGTATGAAGTACAAAGGTTGATACGTCTTACAAATCAAGACGATCAGTTTACAATCAACTTCTCACAAAGTTACAAAGTTCTACAAATTTCCGGCGTTTCCCGAAAATTCAGCAGAGTTCCGACGTCTTCAGGTGGCAGGAAGAGCTCCGACGGTGGTCGAGGAGGAGCTTCTTCCTTCTCCTTCTTCTTCTATCCTTACATTAAGTTTAATTTCTTGTGCGACATGTTTATATTAAAAGTATTTTTCAAAGTTATTTTGTTATTACAAAATAGATTTTAATTAAAGAGTTTTATATTTACTAATTTTAATCTTTCAATTTAATTAATTTTTAATTTGTAGTGTTCACACACTAAACTAAGAGATTACTCCTTCAATTTTATTATTTACAAACATAATAATTCAACATTTAATTTCTTTAAGTTATAGGAAAATTGATATGCATGTCATAAATTTTTTATACATATTTATATATATCAAAGTTATTTTTTTTATTTACTTGCATTACATATAACTCTCTAAACTATAGTAAAATAATATTAATATAAATTTATTTAAATAAACAATATATTTATATTTTATTGACAAATTGAGATAATTCATAATTTATTTTCCTTTTAATTATTTGGAAATTCATGACATATTATAAAATTTTTAAATATATCTACATACCTTACATCTAAATTTTTATATATATCTGTAATATACTTAAATCTCTAAATTATATAAAAAATATTATTAGTAAAACTTTATTTTAAATAAAATATTAATAATTAATATAATTTAGACACAAGGTAAAAAAAAAAAAAATTATATGTAAATTTTTTATAATATCTATATAAATACCCTTTATTATATTCTAATTTCGAACAAAGAAAAGATCCCTCCGCAAGCGGAGCCCCTGCTCCCCTCCTGCATTTCCCCTCAAATCTCTGAATTCGATCTGAGATATGGGGGGAAAGAAGATCAATCTCTTGTCTTTGCCTGTTCTTTCCGTCGTCTTCCTAATGGGCTACGTCTATTGCACTACGGTGTTCGTGTTCTTGCAGGATTGGGTGGCCTTGAATTCCTCTTTAGGGTTAACGAACGCGATCATCTTTAGCTTTCTCGCGTTTATGTGCCTGATTGCATTCTTCGCGTCTGTTTTCAATCTCTTGTCTTTGCCTGTTCTTTCCGTCGTCTTCCTAATGGGCTACGTCTATTGCACTACGGTGTTCGTGTTCTTGCAGGATTGGGTGGCCTTGAATTCCTCTTTAGGGTTAACGAACGCGATCATCTTTAGCTTTCTCGCGTTTATGTGCCTGATTGCATTCTTCGCGTCTGTTTTCATCGATCCCGGCGGCGTGCCCTCGTCTTTTGCCCCTGAGATGGAAAACCCTCAAACGAAAGTAAGTGTCTTTTTTTTTTTCTCTGTAATTGAATCAGTTGGTTTTTTAGTTGTACTATATTTAATCATGATTTCAATTTCAAAATCGAGTATTTTTGCTTTGTATGTATATTATATTAGCATTTGTAATAGCAGCTCAATTCTATCGGTTTAAAGGATGAAGAGTGAGAGTGGGGATTTATTTGGGGGAGATTTATAGCTGCAATTTAGCTGTTTAAGGATGGATCAAATTCTTTGATTAGTCTAAGTGTTGAATCATTATTGATATTAGTTTGTTGGGAAATCGTCTATAGAATTTGTTTGCTTCGAAATGTTCATTTCAGCTTAGTTTCAGTCTTGGTTTAAGTCTGCCGTAGGTTATTGCGTATTATGAATTGTAGGATGAATGAAATAATGGATTTGGATGCTACAATTGTGATATATAGAATGATTAAGGCTGGTAATTTTGTTTGAAACTTAAAATTTGCTGAATAATTACTTGAATTTTAATGGACTCGAAATTGAAGTTGATATGCTCTGACTTAGAAAAGGACTTGCTAAAAATAAGTTTGATTCAACTTGCTAAAGATGTGATATTTACATATAATATTCTCAATTAGAGTTTACTTAGTCATTACCCTCAAACCTTTCTCTCTCCTTTAAAATCTTGAAGTAGGGTATTAGGAGAGCTGAAAAGGTAAAGGGCGATTAGTTTGATGTAGTTCTGCAGCTTTTTCTTAACTGTTTAGAGATGCAATGGGTTGGGTTGACTCTAGGGCTAAATTTAGCGTAATCACACATGCAAAAAAAACACAAACACATACCCATACACACGCATGCATGCCCTCACCTCCACACACATGTGCGAACACATATGCACACAAGTTTTTTTTATAACTTATTAACTATAAAATTTAAGATATTTGATAGAAAATAAGAAGATTATATCCAAACAGTAAAAAAAGAAAAAGAAATAAAGATATTAAATAGGTCATTTTCAAGTCAAAAGTGTGTTAACGGGTCTACCCAAACTTGATTTGTTTAATAAATGGGTCAGAAAACCCAACACGAATTCGACCCGTTTTTAAATGGGTGAACCCGAATGCAAAATTTTCGGGTCAAATCATTTATTGACACCCCTAGGATCCTTCTAGCCTTTTATGTTTCATCTAAAGGACTTGTTAACCAAACTACCAAACAACTCCAATATCTCCAACAATTGTTGAAATTTCAATAGGGATCTCATTTGGACCTAAATTTTATTTATGCATCTTCTTAAGAGGTAAGTTAAGTTTTTTTTTTCCCTGTAATTTATAGTATACTCTATGAATATTTTCATGGCAATCTTCTGTAAAATTTCAGCTTTTATTTAATCTCTCTCATACAATGCAAACATTTAGCATACTTCTGTTAATATGACTTGTAACTTTTAATCTTCATCTTTTTTATAGTTTCATTATGATTTCTATCTCAAGCCTTAACCAAAATGCTTGAATTTTCATATTCATTTATAGCAACAACACATCAATGCATAAGATTACCTAACTTGCAGCAGCATCGGAGGAACAACAATGATCAAAGGGCTCCCAATCTTTGTATGGCTTATGGGGAACATCAATGATCAAATGGCTCCCTATCTATGCAATGGCTTTAAGAAACACCTAGAAACCATTAGACTGGGTTGTAATATTTGAAACTAACTAATAACAACAATTTCTTTGAAAAAAGGCAGCAGGTTAAAACCTACATTGTAATCGAACAAAAAAGCATGAATGCTAGTGAATCATTTGATTTGTAAAATTTTGAGTATATCTCTTATCCAATTAAGTATTAATTTGATGCTAATTGTACTTTCTAGCCATCACTTATAGCTTACCAACCAATTTATTCAATTATCCTTTTAAATTGCCAATTATCACCCACCAACCACTTTCTTCAATTTGGCAAAAGAGTTCATTTTTAAAGATAGAAAAATAACATATATGGAAGCATTAAAGAGAGTTGAAGGATGAGAGAGAGAGAGAGAGAGAGAGAGAGAGAGAGAGAGAGATTTCTCTTATTTGGTCATTGATTTCCTGAATGTAATGCACAAGCAAATCCCATTAGGTGATGATTTTTTTAGTATTATGAGTGAGTTCTCACAGTTTTGGGTAAGTGAATCCGCATTCATCTCATGTAAATTTTCTTCTCAGCTACTTGTAATTTTGCTTGGCTACATCAAGTTGGTATTGGAATGGGTTTTGCCATGTTTGATCATGATGGGAGAGACGCTTTACTAAAAGTCAAACTAGAGGCCGCATTTCTTCATTGAAGGGGAAAATGATGGCATATAATCTCTACTTGCAATCCATTAACCACCTTATTTAATTGTATATTCAAATCACCAACTATCCCCACCAGCCTCATTTAATTAGCTAAAGAGCTTATTTTTGAAGCTATAAAAGGCTTATTATATATGGAAGGATTTTAGAGGAGAGCTTAAAGATGGGAGTGATTCCTCTTATTTGATTGAGTATTTCCCCAAAGGTATTGGGTGAGTAAATCACCGTATATGATGTTTTCCATATTATTATGGGTAAGTAATGAAATATCTCTTTCTATTTGATTTTAATTCTCCATTTTTTTGGGGCTATATCAAATTGGTATTAAAGTGGGTTTCATCGTGTATTAGCTCAATCATTTTCATAGGCATCGATTGACTATGATGTTAGTTTGGGCTGCTTCTCAAAATTTAACTTGAGTCCAAGTTTCTTCAATGAACGAGGGCAAAAGTATTCATTGAATACTAATTGCTTAGCTACTCACCATCTTATCAATCACCTCATTTAGTTGTACTTTCAAACAACCATCTCCTACTAACTACTAACTACCTCTTCTAATTGACCAAAGAGTTCACATTTGAAGCTATTATATTGAGAATGCTCTTGTTTGGTTCAGTTATTCTCCAAATTTAATTGATGAGTGAGTTCCTTAGGGAAGCGATTCCTCGATATGATTGAGCCATCGTAGTTTTAGGCAAGCGATCCCCACTCATCTTGTATATTTTTTTCTTCATATTTGTGAAACTCCTCGTCCTACATGCTTTCAATTTTAACTTTTTGTTTAGATTACATCGATATCCTAATGATCTATATTATTTTCTAGAAGGGCAAATCACAATATTGTGATAAGTGTTGTGCTTATAAGCCACCCCAAACACATCATTGCCGAGTTTGCAGAAGGTGTGTTCTGAAAATGGTAGGTGAAAGATAATCTGTTCATCATTCACACTTTCTAAATTAGTATTTTAATTTCATTTGTTGTTCACTTGTTACTTATTACAGGATCATCACTGTTCTTGGATTGGTAATTGCGTGGGATATGCAAATTATAAGTCCTTCATTAGTTGTATCTTTTATGGATCAGTCGCATCCATCTACTCAGCGGTTGGTTAATTTGACATGCCCAGTTTATAAATTATTCTTAGTAGTAGTGATGCGCCTGGCTCTTTACTTTCTTTTCAATGCATGCAGTTCCAATAGCAAAATATTTTCTGTTCAAACCAAGACCCTATTAGGTAAATGACATCAGTTTGATCGCATTTACTTTTCTGGGGTTGCTGAAGGAAGTTAAAGATGCCTTCAAAGTATGCAACGAACAACTAACCAAAAACAAAAAATAAAGTTTACCTTCACTTGCTTTGACCCTCTTTTGAAGCAAACCAATGTGAAACTAAAATGAGCTTATCAATGAGTGAATATGTAATTCAAGATTTGATTGTTGCAGGTGATATTCTTCTGCGACACACTCCACAGGGAGCATGGCTTCAGAAGTATCGCTTTGAAACTCTTTAATGTGTGTATCTTCCTGCTCACATACTAACAAATGAAGACAGAATATTATAATAATTTTTTTATAAAATATAAGTTACAACTTTTTCTCAACTTTTCTTTGTTCGTAGAAGTTTCTGTTGGTTTGATAATTTTCTGCATCTTGTTGCTGTGTTCTTTGTTTGTTGTTCGTATAAGTTACCACTTTTACTCACTAGACATTTGCAAGAGGATTTACCTTGGTGTATGCTTTTTGCTGATGATATTCTTTTTGTTGATAAGACTAGGGATGGAGTTGAAGTTAAACTTGAATTATGGAGGTCAACTTTAGAGTCTAAAGGTTTTTGCTTGAGTAGATCTAAAACTGAATATATGGAGTGTAATTTTAGTAGCAATAGACCTAGCGAAGGGATTGTGACTTTAGGCGATCAAGTCATTAATAAGAGTACACGTTTTAGATATCTTGGATATATTGTTTAGAGTGATGGTGAAATAGATGGGTATATTATTAGCATAATTCAAATTGAATGGTTGAAGTGGAGGAATGCATCAAGCTTGTTGTGCGATAGAAAAGTCCCCCTCAAACTTGAGGGAAAATTCTATAAGATGGTAGTGAGACCTGTAATGGTTTATGGTGCTGAACGTTGGCCATTAAAAGAGAAGCATAATACTAAGTTAAGTGTTGCAGAGATGAGGATGCTTAGGTGGATGAGTGACTTTAGTCTTAAAGATAAGATACAAAATGAGCATATACGTGAAAAGGTTGGAGTAGCTCCAGTGGAAGATAAGATTAGAGAGAGTTGCCTTAGATGGTTTGGTCACATTAAACGGAGGCCTTTCAATGACCCGGTTAGGAAAGTTGAGGTATTAGATTTGACTTATGTTAAGAAAGGTACACCTAAAAAGACTTGGTTAGAAAATATTATAAATGATCTTTCTTTATTAGATTTAAATGAGAATTTGATTTTTAACAGGACACAATGGCGAAAAAGGATTCATGTAGCCGACCCAACGCAGTGGGACAAAGGCTTGATGTTGTTGTTTTTGTTGTGTTCTTGGATTGAGGTATAGTTCAAAATTCATCCTGTTTATTTGGCATCTGGGAAAACTATGAAAAGATCCTTTCCCAATTTCTAATGCATATTAAATACTTATTTTTTAACAAAATATTCAATTCATTTATAATCAAGTTAGTCATATTTGACTTGAGCTATAGTACTTAACTTGGTTAAAGGTAGAACACCAATATATTAACTTGGCTTGAGCTGGTTATTTATTCTCGTGTTCCCTCCATGTTAGTTTTTGGGATCAATTTGTGTAAATTTATCTTGGACACTGCTAACTAAAACTTGAATTTATAATTCAAATAGGTCATAGAAGCTTCTTGACTTAGGACAGATTGGCACTATCATACTCCAAAAGTTCAAATTTATAGAGAAGGCACATCCAAGGTTTTATAGCTGAAGGTCAATTGATCCTGTGCCAAAAGAATAAATAATTGACAGCATTCATGACTTGATCATCAATCATGGTTGAATGCAAGTACATGATTTAAGGATCCGTTATGGACCTTGAGAAACAAAACAACCATATCCTGTCCTCTTGACAATCTTCTACAGCTTGCTTTCCCTTGATCTTGCAGTTATACCAATAGGGATGGAAACCTACTTTCTGCATCTAACGTAGGACCACCAGGTGCTATCAATTATCCAAAAGCTTAGACTGATAGAAAATGCACAATTAAGACTTCATAAACAAAGATTTGGCTACCCTAACCTACAGATACGGTGAGTTCATGACTAGATCATCAATTATTGTTGAATGTAGGTCCATGATATAGTCGCACATCATTAATTATGAGTGACATGATAGTTGTTATCCAATTAAATACTTATGCCACTCATAATGCCTTGTCCAGGAATATTGACCAGTTTGGGGTATCTAGTAAATTGAATGTCTCTTGCTGTATCCATTGAAATATTCCTATCTCCAATTAGAAAAAAGATTCTAAATATGGTTATGGCATGCTTCTACATATACCATTTTATGTAGGAGTTTAATAAAGTTATAAAGGACGGAAGATGCATCAATAATGCAGATAGACAAAATTAATATTGAAGGATTATGATGAAAAAAGAGGTAGATTGAACATAATAATTATAAAAATTGTGTTAAAGATTTGTGCTAGTATGTTATAACACCTCAAGCAAGCATGGAAGGAATAAATGAAATTGAGGATTCAAAAAGTTAAAAAGTTTGGATAATGCTAATCAATGATGCACTGACACACCTACTTATGAAGGTATGTAGTATCAAACATGTGTCGGACATGGACACACACCCGATATGGTTGGGATAAATGTCGGACACAGTCGAAATAGGTCCGATTAAAATAATATTAAATTTAAACATACGCGTGTCTTAATATTAAATGGCATTTAATAAAAATAAATAAAAGTCTTTCAATTAAATAGAACCAGTCGTACTGTGCATATACCTCTAGGATTATCCTGTATCCTTTCGTATTCAAAGTATGTAGGCGAGAGTTTCATTTCCGCAAGAACGCGAGTTTTGGATTGTCTTCGTTTCCGCGAGCAACAAGGGTTGCGTCGTCTTCGTTTACGCGAGCAGGCGAGGCCGAAGGATTCTTTGTTTACACAAGCAGGCGAGGCTGAAGGATGAAAGGAGGCTTCGTTTACACAAGTAGGCAAGGCCGATGGAACTTTAGTCTTCATCTTCTTATGGAATCATCTTCTCAAGGTAGAATCCGAGGCACTTACTTTAGAGTTAGCTTCTTGTCTATTTTTTGCATTTGATTGGAATTTTTTTTTGGCTCTACACTGGTTGCTGTGAATATAATAAGCAATAAATTAGTGTTTTTATCTTGTGCCATAGTCATATTGTCATTGTTGCAATACAAATTAGAGCTAATCCCTTCCAGAACTTGCTGGTTGGACGATCAATTTCCTAGCCAAGTTATTCAATTAAAGACCCAGTTCTACTAGGACTATGGATGAGTTTTGGTGATTAAAGTTTAGCCTAAATAGCTCTTAAAGCTTTTGAATTATTTTAAAAGAAATATATTGAATGAATAATGAATTAAAATTTATATTATAATGATCTTAACATAAATTCAATAATATTGATTCTGAGTCAATTTTATCTTCCAATAGAGTGGAAAGAAGATCAATGCTCCATGTCACTGCAAAATTTGAGAAGAGCAACATAAAGAGAATGAGGCTAACATACGATGAAAAATACAACAGATTAATAACTCATTTCAGAAAATTTAGGCCCCCATAGGTGAACTCATGCATAAAAGGCAATCTAAGCTAGGATATTATATATGTTAACGTAGAGGAAAATAAATAGAATAATTATAAAAATTGGCTGGAGAAGAATGGCAACCTTCACCTCTCATCTTGACACCAAATCACTTTAGCTAGTTTTGATGACCTCGAGAGTTTTTAATTTGATACATTGAACTATTATAATTTAATTTTGACGAGCATAATTTATGTTGACTTTTCATTAGTTGCAATTTGCTAAGGCTTTATTTGATGAGCTAATACAATTATTCCTTTTAATGGACCTGATGATATTCCAATAGAGGTGTGGAAATGCTTAGGAGATGAAGAAATTTCTTGGCTTACTAAACTTTTTAATACTATTTTGAATACTAAAAAGATGTCAAATGAGTGGAGAATGAGTGTGTTAATTCCTATTTTTAAGAATAAAGGTGATGCATAAGATTGTGCGAATTATAGAAGAATTAAGTTAATGTGTCATACTTTAAAACTATGGGAGCGAGTTATGGAGCATAGGTTGCGGCGTTATACTAATGTTTCTCAAAATCAATTTGGATTCATGCCGGGTAGGTCAACTATGGAAGCCATACATTTATTAAGAGGTTTGATGGAGAAATATAAAGAAAATAAGGAGGATCTACATATGATATTTATTAATTTAGAAAAAACATATGATAAAGTTCCAAGATAAGTGCTATGGAGAGTTCTTGAAAAGAAAGGAGTTAATAATGCTTATATTCAAATCATTAAAGATATGTATGCAAGAACTATTACTTGTGTTCAAACACAAGGTGGTTTGACCAAGTATTTACCTATTTCGATTGGGTTACATTAAGGATCAGCCTTAAGCCCATATCTTTTTGATTTAGTCATGGATGTTCTCACTAGACATTTGCTAGAGGATGTACCTTGGTGTATGATTTTTAATGATGATATTCTTCTTGTTGATAAGACTAGAGAGGGAGTTGAAGGTAAACTTGAATTATGGAGGTCAACCTTAGAGTCTAAAGGTTTTCGCTTGAGTAGATCAAAAACGGAATATATGTTTGGTCACATAAAACGATGGCCTTCCGATGACCCAGTTAGGAAAGTAGAGGTATGAAATTTGACTTATGTTAAGAAAGGTAGAGGCAGACCTAAAAAGACTTGGTTAGAAAATATTAGAAATGATATTTCTTTATTAGATTTAAACGGAAATTTGACTTTTAATATGACATAATGGAGAAAAAGAATTCATGTAGCCGACCCCACATAGTGGGATAAAGGCTTGATGTTGTTGTTGTTGTAATAGGTGAAGTTGTTAGACCAGTCTAGAAGGGACCGGCTTGGTTTACTCCAGGCAGAAATAGGGTTTGGTCCAACAAGATTCTGCTTCCCATTAGGGTGGGGCCCAAGATTTAATTTAAGGACGATGGGGTAGCTAGGAGAGAGATTAATTAGGAGATGTTTCCTAATTGAAGATGGCAGATTTCAGGGCTAATTTGAGAGGGGATTAATTAGAAATATTTTTTAATTAAAGATGATAGATTTTGAGGCTGATTTGATAGTTGTTTTAGTATTTGTTATTTATTATTTGCTTTAAGTAGTCGATTTACCTTAGGGCTAGGATCATGTTTTTTTTGTTTATAGAATTTTGTTTGTCATTTCTAATACGATGATATATCATTTTCTATACATTATATAAAAATTGTAATGCCGTGTCTATGCCGTACCCGTGTCATATATTTTCAATGATAGTCGCGTCCCATGTCATGTTCGTGTCGCCGAGTCCGTGTCAGTGTATCATAGATGCTAATTGATGAAGATGATGATGATGATGATGATGTGATGATGAATGATGATTGCTATGTAGAAATTTGTACTGTTGTATTGGATGGCTTGTTACAGAAGTGGTTTGGTCTCGCTTTCTGTGGTAGAGTAAAAATAGTGTTAGCAAGCTGTAATATTTTATGACAATGCTGGCATCCGGCAGGATATTGTTGCCAAGTGCCTACTAATGTTAACATCGTGGTTTGATTTCATTTAATGGCAGCTTCCTCTTTTAAGTTGAACTTTTGATTACAAAACAATTGTTGCAATTTTGAGCATGAAAAATAAACCTAGTCAAATCTGAACTTCCACAATGATTCTGAGAGGAATATTTGAACATTTTACCTCAATTTTCTCGAGTGAGAGCTGAGAGTCTTCCAATATACAGTCCCATAGCGTTGCTAATTTATAGCGTTGTTGGGCTTCTTAGGGCATCTCCAACCAAAAATCTCATTTTTCGAAACCAAAAAGTGCCGTGATTTATTTCCAATCGAACGTCATTTTTCCCCTTAACCGTCGCTCTCTTCTTTCACGTCTTTCTTCCGCAAGTTCGTTAAAGATAAAAAAATGGCACAGATGAACAGTGCGACGCGCGTCGCACTGTTCATCCGCGATCAAATGGCAGAGGAAAAGGCGTTTGGTTGCGACGTTTGAGGGCCTCCATTCGGTTGTTATGGTGTCGCACTGTTCATCCGCGATCAAATGGCGGAGGAAAAGGCGTTCGGTTGCGACGTTTGAGGGTCTCCATTCGGTTGTTTGCCGAACGGTTGGAGATGGTCTTAAAGAATTTATATCCCATTTATTTAACTTGTTCTTTTGCTGATTCTGATCTGAGTTTTGAATTGGAGTTGTTTTTCTTAGCTCTTTGTTTTGTAATTCTTGCGGATTACTGAATGTGGTTGGTGATTAGATCTTAATAATTTTGTTCTGATTAGGAGCTCACCATTCAACTTATAGGATGAAGTACTCTGCAAATCATTCAACTTTACATTGTAGTACTAACATTTAGAAAATGATAGAAAGTCATTATATATTTATTGATGCCAATTTGGTTATTTTTCATGAATAATACCGTTCATGTGGTGGTAAAAAAAAACTAAATTAAATACATGAGATAAATCAAAGTGTAATATAGTCATAAACGAACAAAATTATCATTTAAACTTTTTTTTTGCAATTTTTGGGAAACAGAACGATAATTTTATTATTTTAATGGATCACATTATCATTTGATTTCTCACAGATTTTTTTTAGCTTCATGTTTTTGATATTTTGTTATGAGAAATGATCAAACTTTTATCAAAATTAAAAGCATAATGATGTTTCTGTCATTTTTTAAATGTTATTGGCCAAACTGTAAAATAAAATAAACTTGCATGATTTTTTGGGTGTTTTAGCCCAACTTACAAGGAAACATTAAATAAGTTCTATGCGAGGGTCAGTCTCTCTACTCAAATAATGACAAAGCTCAAGCTTTAATGCTTTGAAAAGCTACAATAACTGGACTTTAATTTCTTCAGTAATCTTAACTATACATCCGTTCAGCACATCTTGTTTTGTATTTTGATTGCCTTTCATCTGCATATATCATTATCACCATCAGTTATCAAAATCAAGGACAGTAGCGGGATGACCAATCCATACCTGAACTATCTGTGGTTGACATCAGTTTTTTTTTTTTTTTTTTAAATAAGTTTTTCTCTGCTAGGACTGTATTAGGCATAAGCTTTAGTTTGTAATAATTTCGGAATTAACTTAGGGGTTGTTTGGTTGGAGGAAAAAGAATAGCAGTGTAGAGTAAATACTTAAGGCTGTTTGATTGTATGTAAAGTGAATGCAGGAAACATGTTTTTTCTGTTTGGTTGGGTGTATGTAAAGTAAAGTAAAATCCGTGTACTCTCACTAGAGTTTTGTTGCATTCTCGCCTCACGGCCCTGCTCGGGTCATCCTTCTCTACAACAACACCAGTCCGTGCTTTAGTAGGACATTCTCGTTCGAACTGAGCGGAATTAGGATGTTGGTGGTCGAATTTGGTGGATGTCGGATAGCTGGGCACGACTGAGATGTGCGGCAATGCGATCACCATATGTTGGTAGCTTTTTCAATTTGAACTCTGCTAGCATAAAAACCACCCGCAAGGGCCATCTAGTCCTGCTGTGAAACAGGTTTAGCATTCCCCATTAAGGCTTCGATCAGAGGTAGGGAAGAGAATTTGGCATGAAATGGAAGCATAAAGGTGCAACGAGATCCTGATTTGGAATAGGAACGAACTCGTACCCATGTGCAAAACTCCATTGGACGGAACAAGTGTTGAACATGACTGTTTCGACTCTTCGAGGGTAGAGAGATGTCGAGTCTACGATGGACGAGATGCAAGCTTGCACGAATCTCAACTAGTACTTCTTACCGATGTCGGCTTCAGCTTCCAACTCGGAATAAACAAAGAGGATGAGACGAAGATGGTTCCCGCTCTATCGCCCTGTTTGACTTCTTTTTTCGCTCAAATCTGACGGGTTTACTTTACACATGAAATGAGCTACAGCGAGGAATTAGGAATGCATTGGGATTTTAGTTTTTTTTTTTGTACTTTGTCCAACCAAACACTAAAAACTGAAAAAGTAATGCATTTCTTATACGATGCATTCTTTTTTCCTCTAACCGAACAATCCCTTATTGTCTTGCTTAACTTCTCTTCCAGCAACTTTCATCATGTAATGCATAACCTAATAACAATAAACCTCTTTCATAATTTTTCTTAATAGACCACATTTGCCTCAATATTTCATTTGATTTTTAGATTTTTTTTCTTACTTGCTGTTAGCAATGAATTACACTGCAGGTTCTAAGTGGTTTGGCATTGATAGTCTTGACCATAACCATAAGCAGTCTCTTTGTCTGGCACATCTACCTCCTATCAAAAAACCTAACTACCATAGAGGTGAGTTCTAGATTGAACCAATAACTTTCTGCAGCATTCCACCTTCTGAACCAATCAGTTTTTTCTCACCCACACCTACATCAGTATCGGGAGGCGGCACGAGCTGCATGGCTCGCAAAGAAATGCGGTCAAAATTATCGGCATCCTTTCGACCTCGGTGTATATAGTAATCTTAAATCGGTATGCAAAACTACTTTTTTAACTGTTTTGTTTTCCATTCATTACACTTGAGCACTAGAAATTGTTCTATCATTCTAACATTATAGCTTAATTTGGGGGGACTTTCTTACTGTTTTTTAAAACATATTTTTTTACTAAAAAGCTCCTTTAAGAAAGCCGTCCCAAACGAAGCCTATATCTTTGCTGAACTCAAAATTTCATTTGTCAGATTCTGGGTTCGAATTTGCTGAAATGGTTTTGCCCCTTAGCTATTGGAAATGTAAAGGATGGCACACAGTTTCCAATTTCGAATGATTAACTGAGATAATGCTTCTGTTTTTGTTACTTTTGGAGGTCTGGAAATTTTTTTTATTGTTTGGCCTCTTAAGCTAGTTCTTATGAGTGTTAGAAAAAAGACACAGAGACCAGTAGTGCGTAGTGCAAGCTTTCTCTTGAAGAACCACAGATCACAGCCACAGCACCATATTATAGTCATCAAGAAGGTAAAATGTTTTGTTTTTTGGGTTCAAAATGTATCTCTTGATGTTGTATTAATCTAAGTGATAATTTTATGACTTGGATATGGAGCGTGAAAGATATTTCTTTTGCTGTGGAAGATTGAGCAAACTTGGTCTGATGGGCTTGAAGTGTCATAAAGATTGGGCAAATTATTAGGTACAGACACCGGACAAACCGTCTGATTTTCTCTCTATCTATTACAACGAAAGTGCAATCAAAATGCAATTACTGTAGCAATTGCGCTTTCACTCAGACGGTTCTCTCTTCATCTGGTGTTCACACCTAATAATTTCTCTAAAGATTGAACTGAATTTATCTTTCTATTAAGATTGGGCACATTGCCTAACAAAAAAACTCTGATACACATTTTCTCAATTATAAAGCAGCTTGAGAATCTTTTATACAAAGCTGTTGGACTTGTAGAAAGTTTAAATAGCTGGAAACGAAGGATAAAGTTTTCATATATAAACTACTACCATAAACTTATGCCTTTTGGTATAATGTTCTTTGTAATGCAATGATAAGATTGTGTATGCAGACTTAGTATTAGCAGATTATGCCCTCACTGTTATTGCATTGAAGCTGTCTATTAAGTAAGAGCTTTATTTTTAATTAATTCATAAACTTCAGAATGAATTCAAAGAGAATGAGATATTCCTAAAAATTGAATTACTGTTCTCATGCTCCGTTAAATATTTGAAAATTTCTTGCAAAAATGAAGAAAGCCTATACTAAAAGTGATTATTAGTTCACCAAACAAGAAACACATTTAACACTTTCAATTCAGGCCTTGTCTGTGTGAGCTTCGTTAGTTCTATTACTAGTGAGCATTCATGGGTGTTATGTGATGTATTGGTGTAAAATTATTTTGTGCAATACAGACATCGTTCGAAGGTGAAGGTGAATCAGAACGTGAAATATAAATTTTTTTGTTGTGTATCATGACTATGTACCGGGTGACTAATATACTAATTCACCTCCGCACGATTAGATGTTCACACAGAATAATTTCTCTGATTTGACATAGCAGACGGGTGGCGCCAAGTGAGCGAGTTTGGAGCATGAATAAACATGTATCATATGAATACATGTATTATATGAATTTATGGGCCCAAGCTTCCTATATTTTGAATGAACATAAATATTGAGCCAACAAAATAATCTCCCAACACATTCAGATGGAAAATAATTTGTTTAAAAAAAGTTAAAATCTCTCTAAATTGGGAGCTTAAACTATTACTATCATCTCCATTGATTATCATCTTTAAACTTTACATCATACTCATTTTATTTCAAATAAAAAAAAAAAAAACCAGATTTTAATTTAAACTCATCCAATTCCAAAATCTTCCTTTTTAGGCACCTTCAACCAAACCACTTCAAAATACAATAACTCATCTCAAACCAAATTCCATTTCTTAATCCCATATATATATATATAGTAAATTCTTCCTCTTTTTGATTTTTTTTTTTAAATTACGTTCATGAACAATGCAATATCAATATTGACATAATACTATTCACAACATGAATATAATAGCATTTGACATTCGGCTAAAAAACTAGTGGAGAGCATACGTACATTTACAATTCGATTGGAGATGATCTTACACCATTCTTCTTTTATAGCCGACCAAATAACCCCATAAAAATACCAAAGAAACACATAATTGTTTTCTTCCAAAAATTAACAAACTTTAAATAAAATCAAAATACTTCTTTAACCAAAAAAAAAAATCATATTATCATCATTTTTCTACGAGAATTTTCATGTATTAATTACAATATTTAATTTTCATAATCATTAATTTATTTAAAGACAAATAAAACATAAAATATAAAATTTGATTGATAGATCAAATCATCATAGTAATTTCATAATAAATTTAACAATTATAAAACCCATCCCGATAAAATTTGTGTTAAAATAGCCCAACCCAAAATTTCTACTTCCAGCTCCCTAAAATTTAAAAGAAGATTCCGAGAATGTTCCCCCTCAAGATATAGTCGCCAATCATTCAGAACAGATACCAACTGTAAGGAATACGAGAAGAAAAGACAAGATAAAGATAAAGCCCTTACCATTTATGGATTTGAATGGCTACGGAGTCTCGCTGAGGGAGCGCTGCTTCATCATCCTCGCACCCAGAATGCTCTCTTTCCTGGAATTTAGTGAGTGGGAGCACAGCGATTCAGCGAATTGCTCGGTCAGATTTAGGAAGAGAAGCAGGTTCTGCTGGTACTTATCTTCGTCTTGCAAGCTCTTTTCTGAACTAATCTTTGATAATTTTCTGTCAAATATTAGCTGCTTATCCTCGCTTGGTTCTTCATCCTCTGACAAATCTCGCATCGCTAGATCATCATACTCCTCATCAGATTTGGTTGAGTGCTCATCAACCGAACCTTCCATCTGCGTGAAGGGAGAATGCAATAGGCATTCAGTAACAGATTTCATTCCCAAGATTTATGCTTTACAAGCAGTACGAAAGCTGTCCCAAACGAAACCTTAGTTGGGTGCTATGTTTCAATTCAGTAAAAATTGCGAAGGAGAAGAATAAGTTGAAAATGGATGAAGGGATCTTTAAGTGTTATTTAATGTAATGATGGCCAATGATTAGGAAAATTTCATATATTACTATTTTTCTTGAAGCAATTAATAGAAAATAGACATAATTGGTTTTAGAAATAAGAGCAATTATAGTAATTCCAAAAGTATCTCTATATCTATAACAAGTTTCACTATACTTGTTAAGTTCTTACCTCATCATGGATCTCCTTAGCGACATCACTTAGATCTTCATCACTATCAATATCAGGGTGATCATCAGCCTCTTCACTGCCAGAGACAGATAACTCCTCTTTTGGCTGCACAAAGAGATTGGCTAAATACTGAACCAAAAAAAAAAAAAAAACAAGAGGTGTGTGCAGTACAGGTTCAGCCAACAATAAGGCATCATCGTTTGTCCAAACCCAACATGTTAGCTAAATTGATAGACAAACCAGCATAAAAGCTCTTACAAATGCCTGCAAATTTAACTGCTAGGGGGAACATGAGTGTCATGCAAGTTTTATTTTTTAGTGCAATTATAAAATTGAAAATTTATTTATTTATTACACCCCTCTTTATGAGCTAAAATGTCATTAAGCCAATCATGAGAGTTCATAACTAATCAAGCGAGTTCAAGTAGAAATGGGAGCTCTTCAATAAGCAAAGTTCCCAGCAAAACATTATAGCTAATATATAGAATTTAAGCATGTGGTTGTTAGACCTGAACCGATCCAATCTGGACCGGTTCAACTCTATGCTCGTCAGTCCAAAGGGGGAGGCGGACAAGAGAGAGGGGCGATAGCATTGGTGGGCCCCATGGCCTAAATTAAATAGGATTTGGGAGGGAAAATTTAAATGAGAGGTTGTTTAGAGATTAATTAATTTTTCTTTCACTTTAATTAGTCTTTCTTGTTAGGGTTTGGGGGTTAACTTGAGTTTGAAATCAAATTTGAAATCTAAGGTTTGTTCATTTGGGTCCTAGGCTTGGCTAGAGATTTGGAGAGCTGTTTCTTCCTCTCAAATTGAAGAACCCGGTATTGTTTGCTGTTTTCTTGCATCTACTAGTGGATTTCTTCATTGTTTCTCTCCGTTTTCACCAGAAAACTGCTGTAAATTGCTGTTACTGCTGTAAACAGCAGTTTTTCCCCTGTTTTTCGCCAATTATTGTTAGGATTGCTTGGGAACTCAAGTACTACCTATCAGTGGCCTCTTAGCTTTTCTGTCTAACACCTGTTTTTACCATAAAATCCCAAAGAAAACCCAAGTCTGTGATCAAACTTCCAAATTAAACAGCGCATACTTGTACCAAGAACTCTTTCATTTTATAGAAATTTGGTAAGGTTAATTGAAAGATTAGTTGCAGAATTATAGCAGAAATCAATAAAAAAAAGGATACCTCTTTAGCAGCTGCTTCTGACATCCTTGGAGAGCTGCAACAGGAGGAAAAGTATCTGCTTCCTGTGTCAGTACCATCAGCCCTCGAATCATCAACGCTTCCTGTATGACTAGTACCACCTGTGTCACTAGGCCAGGCACTGATTCCAAAATTACCAAATGGGAGATTAACAGGTTCTGCCTTTCCAATTGGTAAGAAACCATACATGGGAATTCCCACTATTTTCTCATCAACATTGGCAGATAGGGATTTTAGACTACCATCAGCAGACTCGAAAGGCCAAGCTTTGGCAACAGAGCCATCTGTGTAAAGAAGAGCCATGACATGCCTTGAAGACCCTTGCCTCCTTATTAATTGGAACATACCCTTGGAACTCAGAATATCAGCGGCACATTGATTTCTATGCTCCTCATCCACTACCGGCACCATATTAGTTGCTGGATCATAAAGAGGTTCACCTGCAGCACGCCGGCGTAAACAGCTAAAGATTGTAGCATGAATTACTGCAACACTGCGGTCAACATTTGTATTATTTATTTTAGGTACCAAGTGCTTGTCTGCCCGATCACAAAGATAGTCCTGAATTGTCCTAATATTTTTTATATATTTGACGTACTTATTCTTGGCAGGATCTAGAGCCATATACTTTGCACGTACTGCAAATCGCTCTGTATGTTTTTCCTCATTTCCAATATAGATCATGAATGGTATTATTGAAGGATGTTTCTTCATTAGCCCCATCTACATTATTATAACAATATAAATCAGATATGAATATTATGAAGGATAATTAAGAAACCAACATGTTCATCTGTTGCATCTCTTGTCAGAAAAGGCATAACGATTTGTTTAACATTTTTTTTTATAAAATTTATAAAAAGGTATCTAAACAGTTTGCGACGGACCATGCAATATAATTATTCCAGTAGAGTCAATTAAGAGTTGATCATACTCGCCAACTTCATTTGGGAAGACATAAATCAAACACTTAAAAATGTTATTGAACTAAAGAAGACTGGTTTTCCTGCTTACAAAGGTACCCACCACAAAATTGAGGCTCAAGTGAACACCTTCAACAACAACCGATTCTCTTCGATTCTCCCAAGCAGTGATCAAACGGTCCAAGCTATCTATAACCATCTCGCTCTGTGCTTTAAATCCTTTGATAGCCATTTGCCTTTTGCTAATCGAGTCTACAGAAGCTAATCTAATAGAAGATTGGCCGTCAGCTTTTCCATTCAATGTTCCATCTGAAAAATCATCCTTTATGATGGGATGAGAAATGATGGCAAGTTTTTTTGCTTTCCGTCTAGCCTTTGCTTCTGCAACAGCTAGAGGATCTAAGCATTCTCCAGCATGATATGTTGAGGCCCAAAGGAGAGGATTTTGCTTCTCATCAACAAAGCTTCTCATCATATGCCGTATGGAATCAGTAGAGATTACAGTGGTGAGGCCCAACCGGCTTCCCTATTTGGATGTACATTCAATAAATAATATTAAAGGATGATGCAGGATTACTACAGATGATTAAAAAAATAAAAATAATAGTGCTAAGAAAAAAATAAATTCCTTAAATAAGACGAATTTCACAAGTCTGTAAAGGTAAAGGTCAGCGCCAGGCAAAGATTTAGGTGCCGCTAAAGAAAACAGATTTTTTTTTTTTTTGTGTGTGAGGATAAATTCTAAGTGATACAGAAGGCACAATAAAAAAGCAAAAAATGATCGCAACAATAAATTTCCACAGTTTTCAAATAATGCAATTTCTGCAAAATTCCATAAATACATGGACTTAATAAAAAGATAGCATTTTAATGGTAAAGTGAACAGTACCAGCAAAGCAGACAGAGTAGACTTTCCGCATCCACTTGTTCCACATAAGAGAATAGTCACAGATTCCTTTTTTTCTCGGATTCTACAAAAGAGGTTAGAAAAAATTAAAAAGATGTCATGAGGTCTACAAGATTGCGAAGAGTGAAAGGAATAGAGAATAAATAAAATAACATAGAATACAATTTACAAAAATATTGAAACTCTTACATCGGCCAAAAAAAAAAAAAACACATCTTTTTCATCCATTTCCAGCAGTATTGAAACTATTATATCATTTTTGTTGAGATTGGTCCAGCTTTAGATTGGTAGTTTCCTAGGTGCATTTTATCCAATAAAGCCTCTATATATAGAAAGGTTGTAATATGTTTTCCCCCCTAAGCCAAGCAATAAAATTAGTTCTAATTTGTTCTTTCCTCCCTCTCCCTCTCCCTCTCTCTCCCTCTCTTCCAAGAAGCTCAAGAAAAGCTTCTTCTTTCTCCAAGATTCATAAGAAATAGTATCAGAGCTAGGTGGAGGTGGAGAAAGTTCTTGCATTCAAGAAAGAGGGAGGCTCATCATAATTTGTTCGAGGAAGGAGATTGAGATGGATTGCACGGCAGGAGTGTCCTGTATATGCGGGTGGTGAGCACAGAAGGAAGGCACTCGGGTGCATGAGTGCAGAGGTCACGCGGATCAGGCGCGTGTGTTGGGCTCGAGTGGGAAATGCTGGCCGGTCACGCAAAGGCCTGCTGGTGCGATTGGACGAAGGCACAACACAAGCTAGGTGGTCACGCATGAAGAGGATCAGAAGTTTCAATTGGGCGACAGTGGTCACGTGAAGCGGGTTGGGACATTAAAAGGGTTAATTGGCATTGACTACTTCCATGCAAACAGGGATGGCCACACAGATTGTTGGCCGGACTGATTGTGCGATTCAGGATTGTAGACAAAACATGAGGTTGCATGGAAAGTAGTGAACTGGGACCGCGAGTGGGAGCGATAGGCGCGATTTGGTTCTGTGATTGGGAGCTCGGAGCAGCTGGTGCCGCACAGGGCCGACGTGTGCGAGGCGGATTGGGGTTGTTCTTGCAGTCGAATTCGGGCTACATAAGGAATTCTTGCTATGGTTCAAGATCATGTCACACAAAGATTCAAAATCGACAAATTTACTGGTGAAAACAATTTCGGCTTTTAGAGAATCAAAATAAAGGCTCTATTTGTTTATCAAGGAACTTCTAAGGCGATTTCAAGGGAATATCTTGCTGCCGTAACCATCAGGATAAGAACTAGACAAACCCAATTGAAGGCTCATAATGCGATTCTTTTATCGCTCGGTGATGAAGTGTTTAAGGAAGTAGCTGAAGAGGGTTCTACTATAGAAGTCTGGGAGAATCTGGAATCATTGTACTTGAAGAGATCGTTAGCCAACTGGTTATATCTAAAGAAAGATATATACACATTGCATATGAATGACAACAAAGACTTGAAAAAGCACATAGATGAATTTAAATAAATTATTCTTGATCTTAAGAATGTATATGTTAAGATTGAGAAGGAAGATCAAGGCATTATTCTCCTAAGCTCTTTACCAAAATCATATAAGAATATAATAGATTACTATATGGTAAGCAGACGTTGACCATGACCGAGGTAAAGTCGGTTTTCATGTCCAAACAACTTCAGCGACGGATTGATGATAAAGAAGAAAATATTGGCAGCATTCTAATAGCAAGAGGAAGACCAAAGTTCAGTAAGAAATGTTTCTGTTGCCATAAAGAAAGACATTTCAAGAAAAAATTGCATGGATTTGTTGAAACAACAAGTAGCCAGGCCTAAAGAAAACGACAACTTAGCTGTGGCGGCAGATTTGAGAGACGAATGAATTGATTCAAATGTTTTGTAAAATTTGGACTAAGGTAAAAATTGTTGTGATTGGTTCAACTTTAGATTTGTAGTTTCCTAGGTACATTTTATCCAACAAAGCCTCTATATATAGAGAGAGGTTGTACTAGGTATTTTTTAAGCCAAACAATAAGATTAGTTCTGATTTGTTCATTCCTCTCTGCCCTCTCTCTCTCTCTCCCTCTCTTTCAAGAAGCTTAAGAAAAGAAGCTTCTTTCTCCAAGATTAATAACAATTTTCTACAAGTAAAAAAAAAAAGAAAATTGAGAAAAAAAGAAGCAAATAGGGAACTAGAGCACCCACTACAAATTAGCTCTACTTAATAGAGTAGTCCTAATAAGAGAATAGTTAGAATACTCATCAATATTTTATAAAGCCAAATATAATATATTTGTGAATTATTGCTTAATTCGTTCCTAATATCCGGCCTAAAACTTTAAAGAAAACAGGTAAATATAAAATAAAATTGTCTATACACAAATAATATTTAACTACAAAACCAATAAACCTTGCATAATCACTTTATTTGTAAAATTCTTAAATCAATCATACAGTTCATCTTTACATTCGTTGAATGATAAATACTATTATTTAAATTTATATTTCATATCAACACACAAAAATTAGTAGCAGCATTTCACCAAAAAGACTGAGCACTTCTCGCTAGTTTTGATTAGCATATTCAACACTTTAGGAGTCAAATATATTATAATGTTCAAAGAAATCTTCTCAAACTTTCGATCCAATTAAAAATTTAACTGAAATCATATCTCCCATCAAAAAAACAAATATAATTATGAACCTCATGAGAATCACATTGTCGCCTAGAACCATAACTTATCCAATTTAGTTTAAATTACATTATGATATTATTTTATTTTTTGACCCAATTATTATGACCTATTTAGAATTGATAAGAAGACGCAACATTAAGTTCTAAGATCAAATCTGATGTGATGTCTTAGAGTACAAGGCTTCCTACTACAAATATTAAGATTCATAATTCACTAGCCACTAATTTAAACATATATTTACAGCTTTTAATGAAAATCAGAAAGTACAAAAATTCACGCCAAATAATAATTTAATGATCGCGAGAGTGAATCACTTAATAAAACTATATAAAAAAAAGAAGAAAATTCACAAAAATTAGAAATTTAATCATCCCGCCGGTATAACGTGATAGATACCCTTCAGAATTATCAGACAACACTTGAATCATATTCAGAAGAATTCAACATACAACAAGCACATAAGTTTGAGAAAAAAGGAATTTTCATCAAGCAATCAACTAATTTTACAAGCCTTGGTAAACCTCTACTTACAATAATCCAATTACAATGTCTGCAAGTTTCTTTCCTAAATCAATCATAACTAAATCACAGCAAATTCGCAGCTAAGATTGAGTGGATAAGCACGAAAACAGGGTACTAGTTCAGCTGAAAGCTCTACTCCTTTTAGACAGTAAGTTAAACCACAGGTTTCGCCATCCTTCAATGATAACTAGTTCGTCCTTCAATGGTAACTAGTTCGTCCGTCTAAATAGTAATAAGCACAAGTTTTGCTGTCGCAATCCAGGTGTTGAAAACAAAGGGAAAATTCACATGCATAAAAATTCAAACATGCTTAAGACACCTGCAAACCAAAAAGCTAAAAAACAAAGCAGTCGAAGAATACAGCCAAAACAACAATCTTCAAATAGCAATGAACAAAAGCTGAATCAACTAAAACCATGGCTAACCCTACAGTAAACCCAAACTAATAACAACCAACAGTGAAACCAATCTAATAACAACCAATAATGACTCAAATAAACCTGCACAAGAATTCAGTGGACAAATCCCATTTTCTATAGGGATCAATGTCATAGACATGTTTAAACAAATAAACCAAAACATAAAAGTCAGAAAATTAAAGATCAAAGTAAGAAAAGTCAAGAATAAAATCAAACACAAAATGCTGATTTGCATCACATACCATCGGGAAACTATTAATCTAAAAAACAAAATGAATTGCACCAAAAGTGCCATGAATGACATGTCATTTTTATACCATTATTTAGAATAGAAAGACATTAGTTGATTATAATTATTACAGTTCTATTAAATTGTATTTATTTCCCTGTAATTATCTAACAGCAACATCAAAGAATACATAATCCTAAAAAATGAAGAACAACAAAAAACTCTACATATTAAACCATAACTAGTAACATAGTATCAATAATGTATGATTGCAAAAGATGGGCATTTAAGGAATCTAATGACTTGAGATATTGAAATATGCCTCTTAAACTTTGAACCATCCATTTTATCTACATTTCAATTTCCTGAATGAATTGACATTTAATGACTTTCTCTGCTAACATTTGAGTGAACTTAAGTAAAGTGCCGCAAGTAAATGAACTTACAAAATTACATAATATAAACTCCATAGCTTCTTTTGTCCACATATTATGTCAAGATGTAGTAAAGAATTCGGGATGAATATTTGAATGGATTTCATATAAAGTGCTGAATAGACCAAGGGAAGCAATGAGAAACAAGAAAAATTGGTATGCATAAAATGATAAAAACCATAGATTGGCTAAAATAATTGAAAAATTGCATGACAGTTGAAATTAGTTGATATCAACGCATATGAGCAGGAACATTCGGGCTGACAAATCAGTATGGGTCGTCAACACGCAACAAACAAAATCTGTTTTAGATACACATTTATTCAAGGACAAAAAGAATCTGTATTTAAAAAGCTAAAAAATCTTTATAAGATACACCCACTTAAACAGATCTTTTGAGCCAATGGAACTTAAATGAGTATAAAGTTAAACCAATTAGAGTAATGGCTGTGCTGCCTGATTTGCTGCAATAAAGACGGAAATTACATATAATACTCGTTTAAGCAAAATTTAAACAATGCTACAAAAAACATCGGTTGGAGGGAAAGGAACATTTGAAACTAAAAAGGGTATAAAGAATTTTGCACCTGCACGCCAGCATCAGGTCAGCCCTCTGGTTGGGACCTACATACTTGTATTCCGATAGAGCAGCGCAAGTAACTTTCAAGAATCTTTCTCTACTACAAACTACGGTTGTCAGTTTCTTGTACTGTTCAAACGGTATTGTGTAACCAGTCTCAGCACTTTGCTGAGCCAGGCCCTTCCGGTCTTCATCCTGATCCAAGCAATCAGCCACAAATTCCGTTCTCAGAAGCTCAAATACCCTTCGGCTGATCTGCCAAAGAAACACATTACCTACTTGAGAGTTGAGAACCAATCCACTGATTACTAAACCAGCTATAGCCGAAAGAAAAAAAGAGCACAAAGTTAATTAACTATATTGGAATTCAAACACAAATTGGCGTCGATAAATGCCCTAACACCCTCAAAACATCTCAAAAAAAAAAATTTTTTTTTTTTTTTAAAAAATCATTCACAGGACGCTAAAAGAAACCCCAGAAAGCAAGACAAGCACCAGGCGATGCATAATGCTACTCAGAAGTATCACAACCAAAACTCTTCCGGAACGGTACGAACGAAAACGAAGAAGCGACAAATAGAGACGTTCGGTTCCGAAGCAATAATTGAAATCATACTCAGAACGTCGACCTGCGAAAAACACAGAACAACTACATGAAAACCCCCCACTTACTACTGAAACCACTCATTATAGAGCCAAAACTCAACTAATCACAACGTAAATGTAATAACAAATTTGTAAAAGACATAAAACCATCAGCCAATCAAAAGAAAACTGTGGCAACGCGTGAAAACCTCCGCCCAAAACAACAGTTCTCAACAGACCTTGAAGGCATGCCGCGCTTTGCATCCCATGAGTTGCAGCGTGTTCTGTAACACGGGTCTCGTGTACCGAAACGAGGCTGTCTCCATCCCGCCATTACCTCCTTCCCCTCCTCCCTTCTCCCCCACGTCGTCCACCACCGCAATGTAGATAAGCTTCGGAACCTCCGACATCTCCAACAATCCCAAGCAATCAGCGAAACCAGCAACCTTTCAAAGCCATTGCACATCGAGATCGAAGAAACGATCCATGCGGACGCTGGCCGACGATCCACTGCAGCTTAGGGTTAGGGATTTCGTGACCTTAAGAGGAGCTGTGGCTCCGTCCGCCATGCTCAGAGCTCCCGACATGGCCTCTTCCTTCGCACCATTCGAGGCTACACATGTCGTAACACATGCCATTCCACGCTGCGATGAGTCGCGCTGCGCGTCCCGCCTTTGGATTTATATACTTATTATAGATCTTATCGAACGACCGCATTAGATCCGGCGTATCTCGGCATTATATATTATTATATATAGAGCTAGTACTAGTTATCAGCGTGTGGAACTACGTTGACACGTGGCAAAGTTTTGTTCGTCGGAATGGTAGTCGCTGTTGTGAGGGATTCGGCGAGCGTTCACGTTGTTGTCGAAATTGTCGTTTTTCAACTTTAGTTGTTGCGCCGAAAATAACGTTAGGATTTCCGGAAGAAATTAAAGTGATCCATTTTGCTATCACGCGCCTTGCCATGAAATGATATAGTGTAGGAGCATTGACATTAGGGGAGTCAATTCTTGACATGACCCGAAATTCAATCTGAATCTGATCCAAAAAAAATTCGGGTTTGGGTCGGGTTCGGATTCGGATATACGACCCGTTTGAAAAAACGGGTTCGAATTGACTCGGAAACCCGCGGGTCAACCCGATTTGACTCGTGAAATTCAATTTCCCACCTCACCCATCTGTCAGCCTGTCGCCGTGTCGTGTAGCCCTGTGGTCTGCCTCATCACGGGGCCAATCCATGTCTCAGTCGCGTCGTTTTGTCCTGACGCGCTGAGCGGTCTGCCGCGTCCGTCACTCCAGTCTGCCGCACCGCGAGACGTCCGCTCCGTCGCACCGGTAGGCGACCACTGCAGCTGACGGGCTCTTCGGACTCCGCCTTCCCGACCAGTCACTGCTGGGTGTTGGCCTCACCATCGTCGTGCTCAAGGCGTCAAGGCATCGGACGGTCTGTTTGCAAGCGCATCTCGGGTCTCAATTCGTGTTCACAAGCGCAACCCATTTATCATACGGGTCGAGTTCGGGTTTGTATTTCTGAACCATTTGTAAAACCTGATCAGGTTCGAATTGACCCTAAACCTGAAACCAACCCGAATTGACCCGTAAAAATCCCGCGTGACCTGTCTCGTCAGCGACTCAGCGTCATCGGCCATAAATAGTATGTAATATAGAATGTTTACCCTTTGGGTTTGATATAATTATGTGTGATCTCTTGAAATTATATTGATAATCAAATTTGATATACAATTCATTATTTTTTTTTTCTCAAAGAAATTTTTTTCATATTGTGAAAGTCAAGAGGATTATTTTTATTTTTTTGAGAACACTCATGCCAATTACTTCTCTTATTTCATATCTATTTCTCTTGCAATATTTTTCTATAAAGTTATTTCTAAGATTATTTTCAATCGTTTAAAGTTAGTTATACCTTTTATTATACAATTTAACCAAGCGGATTTTCTTCAATACTGGATTTCTATTAACAATATCATTATGGATAATGAAATTCTACATGAATTCCTGCACAACTAAAACGAAAATCTTCTTGTGCTAAACTGTACATTAGAAAGGTTCTCACTAACATTCGAGTTTCCTTAAATAATTAGAATAACCGTTCAAAAGGGTTTAAAATTTTCTAAAATCAAATGAAAACAACTGTTTTTATAAAAATAATTAGAAAATTAAAAATTAAAATAACACCTTCATAAACAAGTAATTAGAAAACTAGCATTGTAATTAATATTTAAACCATTAATTGAACTATTAGATAATTAAACTAAATTTTAATTATATTACTTAAATATTATTAATATTAATTAAAATTAAAACAAATAAATAGCTTATATTTAAAATACAATATTAATTTAAATTTTTAATGAACTAACCGCTTTTATCCTGCCAAATAATTTCACAAAATTTATCAAATTTTAATTTTTTTTTTTGCGAAATAGTTTTCAAGATTTATGATTTGATAAATCCAGATTTACAGAATTTAATAAATCCTACTTGTTGCAAACGCACCTAAGTGTAATTTCCTCTAAATTATTTATCTATTATTATAAAGGAGTAAATAACAGTTTGACATCGAAAAGTGAGAAAAGGAAGTTACATTGCTGTTATCAAATTGGGGACCGATGCTAAGGTTCACATGTTTAAGAACCCTAATCAAATCAACGTTCCCCAAGTAAAATGAGAAATGCTAAAATTAGAAGCCTCACGCATCGTTGAGGCTAATGAGTTTCACCTAATGCTTATTTCCAAAGTGCCACCACCTTCTCTTTTTCTTGACTTCTGCTGCTGGAAGATCTGTAAAAGAACCAAAAGCAATCCTTAGAAAAGAAGTATCTAAGAGCTTCTTCTAAAATCCCTCGCACGTTTTGAAAAGTTAAAATTTGAAAGCAAATTTGATTTTGAACTCTACAAACGCATTGAAAAACCCTCGTATGCTGGATTAATTACGTTGTGCGGAAGCCGAATGCCATCCGTAGACCAATCAAAATACGCAGTATCACCCCATTGCTCGGTACCGCTCCTCGGTACCACGGCTCGGTACTGTTGATGTGGCGCATTCTAGTTGGTCTCCGGACGGCATTCTACGTCCGGCCTCCGCATAAATCATTTCCCTTTTTTACTAATAAGACTTGTTGAAGTTCAAACTCTGTGTTGGAAAGAAACGAGGCATGAGAAGAACTTACCTCCCTCGGGGTAGATGGAGTTATAGTGAACCTCAGCCCAGAAGCTCAAGAAAATTACTGCAAAGCACATTTAATCAGTGTATCAGAAGATTTGTGAGAGCTGAAAGTAAACAGTTAGGTCTAAATGAAAATAATTCAATGTAAATTTAGGTGGAAAAAGAGTTTCTTAATAAAGGTAAAGGGGTTAAAACTGGCTGCATATGAGGGATTTTCAAGCAAATTTAGTCTCAGAAGAAAAATTGAACTGCACAAACTCAAGCAAACCAAAAAGAAGGTTGAAAAATGAGGCAAATGTTAACACTGACTGGTCACCAATTTTTTAAATGCTGATGGCCACTAAGTAAAGTGTTTATGGTGGAAAACTATTTGGAATAGTTGGAGTGCTTGGAAGACTAACAGTTGAGGGAATAATTGAGAGGGGTTCCATTATTTCCAACAATAACATGCTAAAGTTCTTGATTCAAAAAAAGCAAAAAGGCTAATGAAGGAAATATATTTAATTTTAGATAAATATAAATGTATTTGAATTACGTTTTTTAATAAGAGTATGTTTAACATTTTAATATTATGAATTAGCTCGAAATCAAAATATAAACAAGATTTTAACTCTTACAAATAGGAGAACAAAGAGAGGCATGAAGCGGTGTGCACGTGTAAGAGATGGATGTGAAATCAATGGAGTGAATTTCAATCTCTATTAGATCCAAAGAGAAACGAAGTACATTTCACTGAATCTTGTCCGACTAAATTTCTGTTAGTTCAGAATAGGGGTGTCAATTTTTGACCCGATCCGAACCCGACCCTAAAAAATCCGGATTCGGGTTGACCAGTTTATGAAACGGGTATTACAATAAAACGAATTTTGGTCGACTCACGAACCCATGAACATTAAGATGGTTATCTTTTGATGTTCAACATCTTGAATGAGATAAGATAATGTTGCACGAATTTAATGAGAAGCGATAAAAAACAATAAGATCATTCAACCGTTTCCTCGGATTCAATAACTTTATATGGCAGTCAAGTTTCATGTGATCGACACTGACGCCCCATTCAAAGCGCTCGTGGGTCGGTCGTGACTGTACAAATATGTCATTATTTTGTCTATCCGCCACCAGTGCACGAAATACTTAAGAGACGGAGAAGAATTCAAGGTTAGTAGTAGCATACAACCTTTCATAGTGCCATATATATATATATATATACCAAAATGTTAGATCTTTGTCCCAAAGGAACCAAAGCCAACACAAACATTCAAAATTCAGACATCTACATCGAAGGGTGTGAAGCAACATGAAAATGAAGGTGTTAAAAAGCAAAGAGGACAAAAGATGGCAAATGCAAACTCTCCATAAAACCGCCAATCCTCCATCTAAGTTAAAAGTAGTTGTTCACCACTTGTAAAGTGATATAGAGGTAGAATAAGGTATCCCATGTCAAACTCAAGGAGACATGCAATCCTCCATCTAAGGGGAATGATAGAAGCCTATCCACATTTAGATTATGAATTCGAATCATCTTATACATGCAAGGTACAATGTCTCCCCAAAAAAGTAACCAACACTTCAACATAAAAAACTACTCGCGTATTTACGCCTTTAACTTTCCAGTATTTTCAAAGAGGTCACTCCATATGAGATTCACAACATCAAAAAGTTGATAACATTCTATATACCTCTTTTACTTGAAAGTAGTGGATAAAGGAGCTTATTTTACAAATCAGAAGTGTATTAGGACATGTATTTTGATTAGCTCAATGAATTTATCGAATCTTGAAAGATAATTCTTACAAGGATACCTAAATACTATCCTGTAAGTGCTCAAAAATTGATGCGCAAGCTAAGAGTTCGAGTCAGAATCACAAATGGCAAACTCAATATTTTAAATGAATATGATATCAAAAAGGTACCCAATTGTCACGGAGAAGCGACAACTATGCAACCAAAAGCCTTAGTTTCATTATATTCAAATATCCTTAAAACCCATACATGAAGAACTAGACGATGGTGGGCAGGCTTCTATAATGAATTAGCTAAATATAGTCAATTGGGGAATCAAGGAAGATGCTTGCTCGACTATTATCGACACTCACCCATAAGAGGATAAAATTGTGGAGATAGAAATACTATGTAAATTCAAGGACCGTTTATTTGAATATATGCTGAGAAGCTCATTTTATCCTCTAATATGACGGTTCATAGATTAGCCATCAACCTTGACTCAACATCCGTTAAACAAGCTCCAATGCAAATAAGATTGGAGATTGAAGAGTAGGTTGTTATGGAAATGAAAAAACTTATTGAGGGGGTTATATTCGAGAAAAAAAAATATGCCGACTAGATAATCAATAAAATTCTCGTGAAAAAGATGAATGTTCAAATTCATATTTGTATCAATTTATGGGACCTCAATAAGACATCTAAAAGATGACTTTTCTCACCAATGTCATACAGCTAGTTGATAGCACTTCTAACTACGATATGTTCTCTTTCATAGATTGGTTATTAGGCTACAATCAGATCAATATGACTTTCAAAGATGAAAAACATACACCATTTAGGATGTGCATCAACTTAAACTGCTATGCAATTATGTCCTTCGGCTTGAAGAATAGTAGAGCTACATACCAAAAAACTATGAAACACAATTTTTACTCCTTAATCGATCAAAAAGTGAAGTGTTATGTCAATAATCTTGCAATCAAGTATAGAAACAACAAAGACCATCTTGATGATCTCAGAGTTGTATTTGAAAGAATAAAAAAATTTGACCTCAAAATATATTCTCCAAAATGCAAAAGATCAAACTTAATTTTATATCATACTTCTCGAATAAAACACATTGCTTATAAGGGAAGTTCAACAGTCACTCATTCTAAGTCCCATCCTCCTCAAAAGGATTGCTTGACATAATTTAAACCCCATAACAAGTACCACCTGATTCGTAAAATACACAAACAAACAGATAAAAAGTGCATTTTAAACTTCAAAATGAAACATCATGCGCATATCAATGATAAACTCCTACACAAATAACCAAAAAAATTTGGATATTTTAAATCTTATGCACACCAAAATGTAATTATCAAAATCAAGCTTAATGCCTAGAGAAGCGCGTAGTCATTCAGAGAAGTATGATGTCTCAAGAAAATATGTAGCTACATTAAGAAGCATATAGCCGCACCAAGAAGCTTGCAACCACTTTTAAAAGCCAGCTGATGCTTTGAGAATTGTGCAGCTACATGAAAAAACGTGCACTACCTCAAGAAGTGAGCAACCATTTCAAGAAGTGTGTTGCTCCCTAGCAAAGGATACAACTGTCTTTAGAAGTACAGAAGTGCATAGGTAAATATTTTGGCAAGATCAACCAAGTTTTAATGTATTTTTGTTGTCCGGGATGTCATTGATATTACTTTATACAATCATCATATTAATTTCTATTAGAATGTACCAACAATATGAGAGCTCAACACATAATGATTAGATTAATGGAACTTTTTGCTCCCTAAAATGGCAGGACAAACATAATCATGACAATTAAAAGCACTTGGCATGTTAATACCTAGAGTCAAAGAATCACATGATCATTTTTTGAATATTGAAACAGTAGTTAAGAGGGACTCGATTGCAAAAAAAAGCTTATTTATTGCATAATTAGTTAGACATAAAATTGTTAAAAATTAAATGCTAGAGGTCAAAGGGGCCTGAAGCCTGACACTCCCATCTTACACTCCCATCTTACACTCCTACTTCACTACCACCTCATACTCCCTCAACTCACTCCTATGAGTGGCTCAGGCGCTCAAATTCATGCAAGCACACATGCTGTGGGTGCTTATGCCGCCCTTGCCATGCACGTGCCTCTTGGCCATGCTCAACCAAATGTCCTCACTTACGTACGCTGCTCTCATTTCGTCAGCCTCATTTACTTAGTCAATGCTTCACGATATTGTCATCCGACTACTTACGTTCACACTTGGGTAGGGTTATCGCTCTTGGTCCCTCCAACTAGGGTAGTCATGTTATCTTTTCTAACTGCCTTCCTCCCTATCATGGATTTCTACTCTTCTCTCGCTTTCAACAATGTGCTTGTTTCACTTTCTTTGCCTTTAAACATGCATCGGTTATCATTTTGGCTTCCAATTTTGGGTCCTCCGCCTCCTTTACCACCGATATTTCAATGGATCTCACCTCCTATTTCTCCCACAATAATTTCTCATAAGTTTTGAATGAACACCTAATTAGGTTGCCATCTCCCATCTCAATGTTTCCTTGCTTCACAGATCCTCCTCCTGCTTCCTCTCCTTTGGAACTTACGCCTCTAGTTGCTCACCCCACTCGTTCCTTCACAAATGTTATTGGTGCACAGAATGATTCAAGAATTTATCCCTCATTATCAAATAAATATTCACCATTCTTTTTCGGTCAAGATCCAATATCACCCCCTCATAAGCATCCATCCATACATCAGGGCAAACCTGCACTTATCTTACTAAAAAAGATATTTCAGAGCTTACTACTGTGGGTTCCAAAAATTTGCGCCCTACCTCTCCACTCCTTTTTGTTGATGGGGAGAGTTTTAATGGATTTAGATTCCGAGCAAATTTTCATAAAGAAGATTAGGTTTTAGATAAGAGACTACCAATATATTTTGCCCTCATTTTGCAAGGATTTTATGATCTGAGCTGTGATTTTCCATAGGCGTAAGGCCCTATAGTTAATTATCTCTCTCGATAATGAGAGAGAACTTTCGATTAAGGCTATTCGTTAAGTAGGCACTTAGAATCCAGCGTATAATAGCAACTTTAACGTTTGAATTTGGTCTTGGCTTTTAGAATTTATGATTTGAAATTTATCATCAGATATTTAAAACAGGTGATAGGGAGGATGATGACGGGCCCGATCAAGATCCCATGATTCCGTTATCTCGGGTTGTCATGGTCCCTACTCTACTTAGTCAGACGAGGAAGTAGACCCAACCTGACAAAAGGCTTCTTGTTAACAGTCATGGGTTGCATCGTCCAACGGTATCTTGTAGACCTGAGGTGGATGTTTGCCTAAAGGGATATATTTGAATCCACCTTAACAAATGAGTGGGCATAACAAGTATATCCTATGATTCATTACTCAGGGATTTAAATTCATTAGGGAACATATGAGCTTTGGCCATTATAGTAATATATTGGTTATATTTTGTAGCAAAACCACCCAATCAGAGGGTGTGTGTCACGTCCCCACAGGCAAGAGGTTATTTGAGAATGAATCTTAGTGATATATCCGACATGACATTCGCTCTTTGTGAGCTAAAATTAGTTTCAAATTTATCACCCCCAACAAATGACTGTGGGAGGCAGATAGGTTTTAATTTTAAGTTTTTAGGTGATAGATTTCATTTTAAGGATTTAGACTTTTAGTAGGTTTTGAATTTTGAAATTTTAATAGGATTTGAGTATGAATCCATTCGGTTGAGATTTACATTCAATACGGTCATAATCGGGGATGTAAATAATTAATTGTTTGAACTTTGCCAACTCTATTAGTCCACTAACAATGGATCGGGTTTAACAATTGACGATTATGCGAACGCTAAAATCGAAGACTTATGTTTTATGACGAGCTTCGATTAGAGAGCCTTTGAAGGGTTATAACAGATTTGTGATTAAGCGTTTGTTTGTTAATCCGAGTCAGGTCGACTCCAATCCTTTCAAGAAGCTAGGAGGATGAAACTTGGAAAATTTGACCAATGCAACATTCTCAGACTGTTGGATTTAGGAATCAAATGTAACGATCAGAGCACATATGAGATTTATTTTAGTGTATAGATCAGAACTATTATAGTGGTATTACCTTTTGTCTGCTTGTACAAATGGGTTGCGGATCCGATGGCTTGAAAGCGTATTAGATTTCAATTGTTGTGTATAGGAGAGATACATTGTTTAATTCATTTTCTCTCTTTCAAGTTATCATATCATTCAATATAACGTATAGGGAATGCTTGTTTAATAAGCACTATGAGATCATGTTCTTGCTTGTGAGCGAGTTACATCATTTGCTACAAATCTCTTATTGTTGCCTACAAGCTAGTTGTGTGCACCATTAATCCACTGCTCCTGCTCACATGTGAATTATAACATCTTTAAAAAGTTTAATAGTGCCCTTCATCCTTAGTCTACTATTTTTCAATATGTCCAATTTCAACAGTTGTTTAGCATAACAGAGTGCTATATCCAACTCCCTCAGCTTCAACATTTTCTAAGCTAAGGTGATATATTACTCTATAGTCTTTTACTCACATGAATTTATCAGCTTTTCAAGCACTTCAAATGCATCATCCTGCCATCCGAACTAGCAAGTGTTCTGCGTAAGATAAACCTTCTGCATAAACATTGCTCTCCCCAAAAATTTTAGAAGCTAGAAAGAGCGCTTTCATACAATTAGGACTCTTTCTATCACAACAAATCTTTTTCAATAGGCTCAAGGGAGTCAAACTATCACCCTTTCCAAGATAATCATAATGATATTTAATATATACTTGTTAGTTTTGATCGATTAAAAATATTATTTAAATTTAAGTTTTAAGATAGCTTTTGCATATAATTCAATCACAATCATAATTATGTGAGGGTCCTTTGTCGTTCAAAATTTTGGTACCCTCCCAGTATCCCCTCCCCGAGAGAGAAAGTTGGGAGGCACTTGCCTTTCAAATCCACCCGGCCGGATTAAATTTGACAGCCGAGGGCTTCGGGACAATTGGTCCTGACATAGATATTCAAATATTCAATGAGTGTATCTTAAGGGTAACTTGCTCATGTATTTATAACTCTCAATCAATGTACTACTTATAACTCATCTTGAATCACATGAATCAGTCGCCCCGATTTCTTATAACTTCTAATCAATTAGTAGCTCCTTATGACTCCCAATCAGTGAGGATCAGTAGAATATCACGTGAAGTTATCATATTATGTATCTGATATCATTCAATATTTCATTTAAAATGTAATAAAATCATATCAAATTGTTTAGAATAATCAAATTTATAACATATTCAAATTTGTAAGATGAAAACTTATGAAATCATGAGATAATATATTTTTTACAAATTTAAAAGAAATAAAATCCATAGAAATCAAAATCATTGAAAATAGAAGTAAGAAATTAATCACTTATAATAAATATAACAGAATTTGTAACAAGCATGACTAACAAATATGATCCAAAGACCTTTCTCTCTCGTCTCTTCTTTCTCTCTTTCAATTTCTTCCTGACCAAACAACCATGTGAGGGAGTCAATGGAGTGACGCAATGATATATGAAATATATATATATATATATATATATATATAGTTCATGGCCTGACGCCGCAACACTCACCATCAGAATTTTCATATGTTTCAAGAAAATTTATTTCACATATTTGAGTTATTACAAATTGGACATGACATATGTCTTCAGGTCTTCAGATTGATGTACTTATATATATTACACAAGCTTGCCTTGCACACTAACTAGAGGGAGTAAGAGGCCGGGTCGATCAGACTGGTCGACTGGGCACAGGGGAACGGATTAGATCATCAGGTCTGTGGGCTAGATAAGATGGTGGTGGAAGCCAATAGCTGGGTTCGTATGGAATAGAGAGATCGGGAGAGAGGGCGGTTGAATCGGTCTTGGTTGTGGGGGTGTTGGTCACGTGCAGTAGGAGGGTCAGACACGCACACTGGTGTGGGCTGAAGGGTCGGGTTGTGAGGGACGCACAAAGGTGAGTCTGCGGTTGGGAGATGCGCATGCGGAGGTCAGGCTGCAAAAGGGGCAACACGCGTAGGTTGGTTGAGGACGGGCAGGCAATGCTCGTGTGCAAAAATAGGAGGTGAGACTGGGGAATCGGGCTACTTTGGTGGAATTGATCAAGCACGAGAGGGATTTCCTTCGAGAAAATAGAGAAGTTGTAAGGAAGAGCAGCTTCTGCGTGGGTTAGAGTTTGAATGAGAGGGAGTGGGAGATTTAACATGCCTTTAATTGAGAGGAGTTGTGAGTGGGAACGGTTGGGAGCAAGGTTTGGGAGCGAGCAGTTGCGAGTGGGGCCAATCGATGGTTGGAGGTCAACAAGTACGCCTCTCTTCTTTTGTATTGTTGTCAAATTCTCATTGTGCCGCCCCATACTAGAGATTATCCACAAAATTTTATCTGATTTAAATTTGGTTGGTTACCATTCCGTTCCTCATTGATCCTCATCATGCATTATTGAACTACCTTTAGAAGCATATTACCCTAGTATGATGGTCCTACTATATCAGTTGTTTCCCGATGAGCATGCTAAAATGGTCTTCCTATTATAACACTCCCAAGAAACCACCTATAACTCTAATTTAGACTGTATTCCCCTAACTTCATCATTACTTAAATCCATCGACTTTATATTCCTTGGACTCTATACTTAGCAAACATTTACAAGTGGATAATATTACTGCTTATCTTTCAAGATTTTTTGTGGCTAAAGTCTTGGCTGAACTAGACGTTACTTCTCAGTCAGAAAAGGTGCAGATTGGCTACTTGACTTGTGGATATTGATAGAGGATTAAATTTGAAATATTATTCATCCTACAAAATTTTTATGCATAGTTTCTCTGAATCTTCAAGGCTCATCCAAATCTTAAGAAATCTAATTATTAGTCGCAAGAAGTATAATAAAATGATCAAAATCGTCCCTATACCACTTTGGAAGAAACTCCACTATTAGAACATATCTGCAATTAGAACTTTGAATCCGCTTAATTTTTTTTTTTTTAATTTAAAGTATCTAATGCCTGCATCTTTTAGTCATAATGGTGGTCACATCAACACCAACAAGCATCACTACAACACCTCTCCTCCGTCCAATTTATTAACAAAAAAATGACCAAGACTCCTTGTAACCTTATGATTCAGATGAGAGCACTCAAAGTATCAACTCTATCGGAAATGAGGCTTCAAATTTTATTTACTAAATGAGGCAAAAATTAAAAAAAAAATCAATTGAAGCTACACTATTTCACTAAGCTTCAAGCAAGGAGATCCAAATGAGTTATTTTGTAATTTTATATTTATAAGGACTAAGTATCATAAACTATCATGCTCTATGTATCTTTTTTGCGTATTTATTCTTAGTAATTTCCCGTGATACACTCATATCATTATCTTAAGAAGTAGAGGACAAAGCATAAACAAAATGATAATATATGTATATCTCGTTAATTGTTATACTTTCCAATATAAAGCAAATATAGAAAAATCATATTGTAACGTCGAGGAAATAAAGAACGTAAAAAAGAAAAAAAATCATGATTACTCCTACTTTATTAAAACTGTTACTATGATTGTTCAAGCCTTAATCTTTACTATTAGTGTTCTGAATGGTAACCACATATAGAAAACAAGCTTAATTTTAAATCACCTTTTGATCAGGTAACAGTTAGCTGCATGGAAACACATTTTAACATTAAAGAGCATACATAACATACCTCGCTTGGACCGTTGAGCATTAGGCAGGATTTCTATGTAGCAGGTGTCTTTGAATGATGTTATGACAAATATTTTAACACCATACTGCAAGAGAAAATGAGCACGCAGAAGCATCAGGACATGAATAAAAAGTACATAAGCCATTTTTGTGGAGATCCTCCCATAAGATAAAGTGAAAAACAATTGCATCATTTCCTAAAAACTTCTTTCTTTCCGCATCAAGACAAGAGTGTCATTGGTTTTATGCATACCATTGGCTCCTTAGTCATGTACAGATACTACACGCACGCAATCATAAGAAAAACTTCAAAAAAGTTCTTCCTCTAGCTAAGCCAAGAGCTATGGGTGGCTGTAAAAATGGTATTTAACACGTCTAACTAATAAACAAATTTTACTCTATCTACTGGTATTGAGGACTATTGAGCATACCAAAAAACAAACCCTATGATAATCACGTATATGCACTAGGATATCATCAAAATGAAGCTAAAAAATGCTTATTTTAAAATTTCACTTGCATAAATAGCAAGAATACTGCGATTCATATATTTATGTCAAGAAAACTCTATATTATAACCACAAGATTGTCAGGCGCATATTATAACCTCAAGATACTCAGGTGCACTTTGCTAAACTTACAAAAGGGCCGTTCAAGCCCCGCTTAAGTGCATTTATTTAGGCCCTTCTGGCCTAGGATCATGGGCTGATGGTCAACTGAACCCACCTAAAGGCCTACCTAAGAAGTTCAAGGAGCTCTAGACCGCTTTAAAGGGAATACAATTATCAACCCAAATTCAATTAGAATTTGTTGGCAGCCTTGATAAAATCTTCATGAAGTGATTGACATAAGTTTATTGCTGATTGTCCCCTAGGACAAGGAGTACCAACAAGAGGCTTCAATAGTAATAGGGATGGTATCAAGCCTTCAATTTCAAAATCAATTGATAGAAAGGTGAGATTTTTTTTGTTCTCTGTTGTGGAGGTTAACAACCCAAAAGTCCAAATAACTTTTCATGATTTGTAACCAAACCTACAAGTCATCTTCTATATTTGCTTACCTACTTAACAAACTAATCCCTCATCATTGACGATAAAACTTAATGATTTATCATGTCATTTGATAAAAGCCTGAACTTAGCAATGAACCTCATTTTCCTTGAATACAAAAATTCAAAGTCATCCTTTTGATTCGTAGCCTCAAAGCTACAAATCTTCCCTCACTTCTATGGGCTTCAAAAGCCTTAGAAGACTTCTAACCTTGGCTCAAAAGCTATATGTTTCCTCTCTTTCTCTAAATTCTTAGTTGTAGGAGATATCTCTCTCTTTTTTACTCCAAAAGCTAAGGAGAACTCTCCAATATTTAGCCCAAAAATTAGATATTAGATTCCTACATTCACCCTCAGCTCCAATAGCTAAAGAGGATTCTCCAACATCTAGCCTAAAAGTTATATGTTGGACATCTTCTTAGACCAAAACTCTAAATGTCTTTTCATTTAATAATTGATCTCTCCCCATGACACTTAAAATACTAAACTTTTAGATGTCCCTTAGGAGTTTTCTATATGCTGAAATTCATCTTACACTATTAGATGAATTTTACAAAGTTCTAAGTGCAATCCTTAGGCATGTCTACCTTACCCTATTATGTAGACATCTCTCTTATCCAAATATTAAGAGATTCTCAAAACACCTAAAAATCACCCGAGTTTCTTTTGATACAATGATTAATCATCTCCCCCAAAAGGCAAGCTGCCTACATCAGTGTATCTTAAGACTTAATAAGTAGTAAACTTGCCTCAGAGCATGCAGTAGTTACTTATGGGTTCTTCATAACCCTTCTAAATATGAAACCTCTAAAAATCAAATAAAATCTTTAAAGTCACAAACAACTTAAAGTGAAATCGCCCTAAGTTTAAGATTAAACATCTTTATTCTAAAATAAAATCAAACACCTTTCATAGTGTAACATGTCACACAAGCCTCACACACTTAGGTGCACAGCCCCTAGGCATGATATGATTATGATTTTTTTTTTGCGCATATGTTTGATGACTTGCTATGATGATTATTGGATTGTCTGCGTTGTGGGCACTTCCCCTTAAATGGTTAGCATAGATATATAATAAATTATAAAGAAAAATGCTTGCATGACAGGTGTTGTTTAAAACCCTCCAAAAGGAATGATCAATAGGATAGAAGCAGGGGCTTAGCATTTCAACTGCTAGAAAATTTTGTAGGTGTTTTCGTGATATATATATATATATATATATAAACAACTCCTAATCCCTACCCTGTTTTGTAGGTTTTGAATCTTATATTTTTATATATATTTGATATATTTAGAAGTTATATTAGAACTTGTAGAGTTCAGTTAAAGGAGGTAGATCAAGAGGATGTACCTGATAAAAACAAAGCCCAAGATCTACCTAGAAGCCAGAACTTAAAACCCCCCCCCCACAAATAGAATCTGTAATAAAATTTGACTGGGTTGAATAATGACAGGTAACTCAACTGTCAAATTTGATTGTAATAATTTAGACTCTACAATTTATATTTATTTTGGTTGATTTTACATATACAAGCATGTGTTGATTATTTACTTGATTGTGCAGTAGAAAAGTATAAATTTTCTTAGGTTTCTTCTCTTGTTTTGCTTGGGGGTGGCCTAAACTTTTGATACAGTAGGCTCTAAGGATAAAAATAAATTTTTACCCATTAAAATATAAGCAATCTAAAATCAACTTTATGATTCATGATTTTCTGAACACAAGAAAATTTGCATGGCTCCCTTCAAAGAGCCAAGCTTTCCAAAATTCAAATTGATTATGCATAGCCCAGTGAGTCTTATGTAAAACAACATTCACTTAAGGATCATATAACTAAAAATCTACATTTGTGAGTCCGCATTCTACATACCACACATAGTCAGGTATCTTGGCCTAAAAGCCAAGTTGTAAACCCTACTTTCTAAATAAAAATAGTCTCTACTCTTCATATGCAATGAGGCCGAACATCATCATTTTAAAAGCGATTATGTGGGTTCAGTTGGTAGCCCTTTCCAAGCATGGTAATAAATCCAGATGTCGGACTAACTAGGCCTTATGTGAGGTGTAGTTAATTAGTCCATTGCACTTCATTAGACTTAAGTTCGAAGCACTATCCCTCAATAGTACTCGCATTAATTCTAGGGTCCGAGGCAAAAGTTGATTTCAATCATTACACAAGGCCTCACCTTCCGAACATTTTCTCCAACATATGTTGTTGGAATGTAAGCCCCAACATTCTAATTAAAATGATCAATTTAAATAAAAAAATAGATTCTAAAATGTAAAGCCCAATATAGGATAATTTTGAGTACCTCTGAATTTTCCCCTCATAATCAAATACTCCTACTCCCCTTGGCTCTCATTCTAAGAATTCTAATCAAAGTTGATCCCTCTTGCTTTGAAATTCCTAAAGACCAAAACTTTTTAAACAAGAATTTCATAATTTTAAAATGAAAACTTTAGCCAATATTTTTATGATTTTGAAAAGAAACAAAATTACTAGTTTAATCAAAAAATTTCTCAAGTACCAAATACTTGAGATGTAATTATCCATAAAAACTTGCCCCTATGAAGCATCCGTACCTCAGAATAAAATAAACACCATTCAAACAAATATTGGATGAGGAATCTTTGTTAAAATTATAAATTTTGTTATTGATTCCATAAAGAAATAATATTTTTATCCTTTTGGGTAATATATCATCTTTCTTATGTCGTACTCAATCATAAAATATGCAATCCATTGAGGATGACAAAAAAAAAATAGCAAGAGATTGTTGAGTTTCGTGAGAATGTGCTCGTAGGGTAAGTTAGGCATCTTTTTTAATAAACAAGCATTGTTGGTCAGTTGTCTGAAAAGAGAAAATTGTTGATGGGTTTTTAATTCTAGGAGAATATCCTAAATGAGTTATTTTGGCAGGAACCCCTATCCAGTTTAGCAAGAGTATTGTAGGCTAATAACCGAGTTCTATGAATTCTCTTTGATAAATTAACCAAATTTAATTCTCGGTGAGTCGAGGATTTGAACAACTTCAACTTTAATGTATCGAGTTGATTCATTAATTTGTGATTAGTTTAATTGAGTTTAGACTTTCATGATGATTTGATTAACCTAACCAAGATACATATATACTATAATTATTTTATCTACTCATCCGCTTGGTGTAACTCTATCCTCCATTATAAAAGCATCTTATCTTCAATAGGCACTACTCCCATGTCTTCTTAATACAATCATTCTTTAAGCTATCCTTCTACATTATACCATAGAGCCATCTAAGCATTCTCACGCTTACCACAATTTAACTTATCTGTCAAAGACATGTTAATCTCTTAACACTTTGTCCCATATGGTGTAGCTGATCTGATCCCAGATTTATAAATTTATCATCAGATCTATCAGATATTCTCATCTCACATGGTCCTAGAGAGGTGAGGTTCAAGAATCTAAAACTAGTTCCAAGATCCATGATTTTCTTTCATTAGTCTAACATTTTGGCAGTATTAAATACTTCTTAAACTTTCGTAAGAATGATGAACCAACATTCAAGTGTACAAAAGGACCAGTTTCAGAATTTTCAAGCTTGCAAAGTAATTGAGTTTCCAAATTTTTTTGCAAAAAGCAAAAGCAAAGCTTGTCATACTGAATCAGCAGCAGCTTGTAAGGTCACGTGATCTCCCCATTCACCATTTCTGTTTGTTATGGTAAGGAAAAAGTAAATCAGTGCTTGTTAATAGAATGAAACTGATGACTACCTTCAATATAACTCAAGAGGAAACCTACTTCGAGAGCTTCTTCAAGTAGTCATCGTAAGTCATGGGAACATATCCTTCATAGATCTCCGGATTAGACTTAAGCTGAGAAAATTTTGAAAGGGAAGCTTACTAATGCCAAGAAGTATTAAAATGATAGAAAACTTAAATTACTATTAAAATTAAATAAGATAATACAAAGGTGTAAGTAATTCAATATAACAGATTACAAGTATGAAAGGAATAAATAAAAACTAAAAAAATATTGAAGGACAAACCTGATTAATGATTTGCTGCCTCACAAACTTGTGGTGTTCAGGAGTACGGTAAAACTGATCAGATAATGCTCTAAACTGGATGATGATGAAAATAATGGTTCTATTGGTAAGTGGAAGGCAGAAAACAAGCAAAAGCAAATAAAAAAATGAGAAATTTATATAGTAATTAGATCAGTTCATAATTGTTATCCCATTCCAAGAAAACAACTTCATCCAACTTCATCCTTGTTATTACAAATTAAGGGAGGACTTTACAAAGTCTGAAAAAGAAGCGTCAACAAGTAGTTGTAACAGATATGGAAGAATCATGCAATTATTCAGGATAAACAAAAGCAATGGCCACATTCTTCACCATGGTAGAGCTAATCCATCATTTAATAATCCAAAATATCTTCTATACTTCACCATCTCCTTCCTAACATTACACTAATCAATAACATTTACAACAATTCTATCCTGTATTTGCATATAAGTTTGCCACTATTAACCGAGGGTACATGCTCTGGCAGTGTCCAAATGATAAATTAAAGTGCTTCTTAGGATTGTTTAACAGTATGCCTGCAGCAGACAAACAAACCCAATGTATTTAAGTTCTCGGGATATTTTGAATGAATTGATTAGCTTTTGCTTTATGTTCATAGATGGCCTAGAGATTTCTACCAATGCAGGTAGCACCCCATTCCCGGCATAAGACAACCATCACCACCATGATCATCATTAGCCTCATTCCGACTACTTGGACGTCAGCCTTTCTTAAAGAGCGTGTTGGATTAAACAATGACGGAGCTAAAAAATTTTCTTGAAGAAGGCACAAACTGACTACTTGAAAAAATCAGTAATATTTTTGAATAGTTCCATACAACAAACCCGACCGAGGAGCAAAACTTGTATATTTTTGTGAGTTATATTTAAGTAATAAAAATATATGAAATATAAAATAAGCTTAATATTTAAAAAATAAAACTACATCAACATTCCTTCAGTTTTCAGCTTTTAATAAATGACCCAAGAATACATTTTCATCATATAAAGAGACCTGCTTGAACAAAAAGAATGTGGAGCCAAATTAAACCGAGGTCTAAAATAAGAAGACTAAAAATGCTCATTTCCGAAGAACATTTTCATCATTCAAAAATCTTTAAATCCATTCTGGCAAGATTTGATAAATACTATCATAAAAGATTGAGCAAAGGGACTAAATGCACAAAAGTCAACTAAAATAAATAAAATACAATTTATCCTAAGTTAAAAAGAAGAGCCACAAAATTATATAAATTATAAATTACTGTTTAAGTGATACTTTTTATTATCCCCATAAGGGTAGGTTTGTGAAAAGTGAATATATATTAAGTTGCTATTTAACCTACATCAAGTTGTTCAATAAATATAAACAGCCATTAAGTCATGATCGAACTTGTGCATTGGAACATAAACAACCAGCCCGGTTAATGAATGACCATTATCACAAGCCATCTTATCTATAATCTAACCAGATGACCTCAAATTGCAATGTCCTTAACGCTTTTTCAGCTTGTAAAAGATTAACCAGAATTTCACACAATAATATCATGGTAAATACCTGACAGTTTCCATCTCCTTGAACCTTAAGTTCAACCAAGTCATACAATTGCAACCTATAAAAACATGATACTTAGAAAAGGTATCACAATCACTTTTTAAAAGCAAGAAAAAGTTAAGAAAAAAAATGCATCAGCAGGATGGGTCATCAAGCAAATAGAGCCATTAGAATATACATGATTGCAAGGACTTGCAGTATACCTAAAAAACATGGTAGACTATTAAAAACATAAGTACTTGAGGAAAGCTACCAAAGAACTGAAACAATGAATTGGCACCCTACAAGGACAATCAACAACAGATTATTTTTGCTGCACTTGTCTAGCCAATTCTAAGTCTTCGCTGTCTGTGCATTTTGCAATTGAAATCAAGTCCAGTCACAAAACCATAATAAAAGTCTGAACTATGCCATAGATCAATCCTATTTTTCTCATCTCTCTCATGCATTTTTATTGACCGCATTTTGACCTCTGTAACTCGACCAACTCTCCGGCTCCCCACCCGCTGCTGATAAGCCCTTTTTTCTAACCCCCCATCCCCCTTTGATTAGCCTCTTGAATCGAGCCACCTTCTCGCAATGACCGTCACTCAATCAATTCAACCTCTATCCTAACCCCACTGATGAGATCAAGCAATATTCTCATCTACTTCAATTCTCGTGTAACACTCCTCATCAACTCCCATGTGCTCTTGAGTTGATGCTTCTCCAATCCGAACACCCTTCATCAACCATCGACAACCTTCAAACTCTTTTCAATCATGTTCATCCAATACTAGCAACTAAACTGACATAAGTACTTAAAATCTTGGTTTCCATTTTCTTCAATCTTTACTTGCATTTAACTATTGTGCTTTACATTTATATTCAAGTTTAGGTTCTAGTTTGGTTGAGTGAATTTTAAACATTATGCTCAAAAATTTATATCACATAGGAAAAATGCTTATTCTTATGAATCTTAATTCAAATACTTCGATAGCGTTTGTTGAAGGCTTATGATAGGAGAACCCATAATTTCCATGGGTGCAAGTCTTGGACAAGTAGACCAATACATAATACAAAGAAGGCAAAACCATGACATGAATAAATATGTTATGAACATTAAGATGATGATTGATTACTTATTTTAATTGAATTGATGATGATATTGATTACTAGATCAGCTATTTTTTTATCTTATGTTGATAAAGTACACATTGGAGCATGTTGTATGATCCCTAAGTTGGGGCGATACATATGATGAATGCTTATGTATGTGTTGCAACTAAGATTCTTGCAGGTGTGCTTAATGCTAGATAATGACACTCTTTCGTTCAAGGTGGTTGTTTGATGCTAAGGATGCTGGTTTAGATTAAAAATGATGATGCAATTTACTGATATGGTTAAACTTGAGGTAAGCAGGTGTTTATTGTGACTGCACAGTAACTACTAAAGCTTAAGTAGGAAATTTGCTTAGAGTAGTTGTCGATGTATGATAAGAGTAAGAAAACAGAGTCGGAGTAAAGAGTGCTTGGTAGCATGCTTCAATTTATGTTGCTATCATAAGCAAGTTTTAACCTTAGTAAACTCATGTGTTGCAATATGATGACGAGCGCCTTGTTGAAGGGCCTTAAGGATGACTTTGCACATGTTTCCCTACATGAGCCCACATCCCCCCATTGTCCGCACAATGCTATGGAAGAAGAGGTAAGTTTAACTTTATTTCTATTGAAACAACATTTACAAGACCTAATAGTTAATCAAAGTATTTATTTAACTCTATCCATCTAAATAAATCTCTTACTAATTTTAGGGTCAAATCTCCCGGGCGGTATAAGAGCCAACCATCATGATGAATGTCTAGGAGAGGACCATAGTGAGGCATCTTACCCAAACCTTTAATGTGGCTCATTGTAAAGAAGCCTTTAAGAAAGGTAACACATCATATTTCCAATATAAAGGGTTGTGGGCCTTGTTGAATTTATAATGCTATATGGGGTGGCATTATCCAACATTGAGTCAATAAGGATTGGCAGAAAACCTCAAGGGTTTCTTCAGCCACTTGTCTCACTCTCAAGATGGGCCATTACAAAGCACTCAAGAGGCCCAATTTCCTTTGTTGCAGACGAGCACAATCTAGTAATAGCAATATTTAATTTTCATAATATATTAAGCCTCAGCATTTTAAAATAAGAATTTTTTATGATGTCTCCTATCTTATGCATTATAGGAGAAATATTTAAAACTAGCTCCAAAAAAAGCTTAAGCTTTTCTATAAGATCTAAGAGGAAAGGAACTGATGAATTCATCCGCCTTCACTCCTATATAAAGAGTGGTACTAAGAGTAAATATGCTAGGTAACACATTCTTCATAAGTTTAAACCCGAAGCATGGATGGATGAAAGAGGGCGAGGGCGACCAAGAGTAAATGCATGCTTTTGTCATCGTTTTGAAGGTGGAAGGCAATTCCCATCCACCTCATAGAGGTAAAGAGAGAGCCACTATTACGGAAATTTTGTCAAATATTTAAGGTATTTCTATGTTATTGGGCCCTAGCAATTAGACTGGATGGGTTGTTTGATCATCAGTCATACACCTACCCTTACTGATTCAGTTCACTTCCATCTCAGCATACATTATCAGAACTTAGTAATGAAGGGATTATGGCCACATCAACATCAAGCCTTTAACCCACTACGTGGGGTCGGCTACCAAGTGAGAATAATATTTCTTGCAAGAATTAAGATCATCAGTCATAAAAAGACTACCTCTAATGGATCTCGAAATATTTCTTCAAATTCTAAATGAATTAAACCTTCGAGTAATACCTGTCCAGAAGTCTTTGATGGTCGGATGTAGCTTCATCAACAGAAGGAATTTCACCATTAATTCTAGGAACATGCTGCAAAAGCCATGAAAAATTGTAACTTTCGCACATCAAATTTGCAATTCAGAAAAAAAAAAAAAAAAAAAAAAAAAAAAAAAAAAAAAAAGATTCCTCAAATGATCTGAAGCGGAAAGAGTTACTAAGGTTTGATGCAATAACGGACACTGCAGAAGAAAAAAAAGGAAGTCTATGCAGCATTGCCTGAGATGTCATCACGTACCATATATATATATATATATATATATATATATATGTGTGTGTGTGTGTTTGTGAACCAGAACATAGGAAAATGCAATACACATGCAAAAAGAATACTTGATGAAATAATCAATGGTATACTACAGTTTTGGGTAAGCTCAAACAATGGAGACATACAATCAAAGCCTATGTTTTGTTTAGCAATGCATGCATTCAGAAGACACTGGTATGGTAGCTCCTAATAAAATTGACCACATTCCTCGTTTAGTCATCAGAGACTCCAGCTTACAGCAATTTTGCGTAATGGGCACCACTAAGAAGTACGTGTTACCACTACATGAAATCTTGCTATTTCCGATGGAATATTGCTCATTGGAAATACCGATGGAACACTGGCGGTTTTACCGGTGAGTTTTTAGAGGAAATTCTGCCAGTTTTAAATAGCCAGGTGGAATATCCGATAGAAATTTCACTGGTAAATGCCCTATTTCCACTGTTTCGTCCCTTCTTCCACCATTTCACGCGAAACAACCCTTTCACTCAATTTTCACGTGCAACAAACATGAACCGTACCCCTCCGTCCCCCATTCATTCATGTTGCGATTCCTCGGCCTCCGTCGTCGAGATCATTGCCATGTAGCTCTGCTCCGCCCATTCACATCGCATTCGTCCGCTCAATCTTCTCGGTAAATGTTTATATTGCAGAACTTTGCAAAATTCTTAGAGCTTTGTTAATACTTGGGTGACATGTATCTTTTATACCCTTTGTATTAAGTTGTGTTTCCTGATGTGAATTGAATCCATATTTAATAAATGAGCTAAAATGGACATATATATTCAATTTCTAGCTGTTATGGAGTTGTTGTCCTAATTTCGTCCGAGTATTTATTCCCTTTCCAGAATAATGTGATAGATATTCTATCAAATCAATGTCTCACAGGTCATGAAAGGAAGAGTTGTTTAGGGAGGTTCATAAACAAGATGGAGTTGTTTAGGAAAGTTCCTAATTAAGTAAAATTATTTAGGAAGGTTTCTAATCAAGGGGGAGTTATTTAGGAAAGTTTCCTAATTGTGTTTATGCTATATAGGAAGTGTTGAATTGTTTAGGGAGGTTTCATAAATTATGTTTATGCTTATTAAGAATGTTATCATTATATTATTGTGTTATATGGCTATTTAAAGGAGAGTTTGTCTATAGTTTAGGGGGGATATTGCTGAGTTTGTTTTCCTAGTGTTTTTTGTGAGTTCCTAGCGATGTCTAGGGTTTATAGGAGAGATGATATACCTCTCGAATAGTAGATCAATTGTATCTTGCTTTATGATTGAAGGAGAAATAAGAAAAGCAGCCCTATCTTTGTAATCCTAAGTTGCTCTTTTCTTTTCTTTGTTATTTTTACTTCAAAGGTGTATCAAACTGGTATCTGAACGAGATTTTTAGAGAGATAGCAGCAAAGAAGGTGGATGCATTGAAAGATAAAGTGAAGCAAAACAAATCCTGGATGGAGGAAAATGCTCAACCATCGAAGGAAAATTCTCAACTATGGAAGGAAGGCTCTCATCCATTGAGAATCACTTTGAGAAATTGGAGGATATGATAAAGAAGATGATCGAGATGCAATTGAAAGCTTCATCGGTGATTCCTAGGGCAGAAATAAAGAGAGAAGAGATTTTGGAGGAGATGATGAGAAAGCTCAAGGAGATGCGATCCAAAATCCCACCAACAATTCTAATTGATGATCTTAATTGGGATTCCCTTTGTTGAATCTGAAGGAAAAGAGATTGGATGGGAAGAGTTCCACAAAGAAAGCTCCTTGCATCAAGAGCCACCTCCTAGGACTCCAATAAGGGGCAGAATAGTGTTTCCGGATAGGGGGACAATAAGAATGGAGTTTCGTGATAGAGGTGGCGGGGTGACCGACCAATATGGGAAGTGTTTTGGGCAAGGAGAGTGGATGACCGGAGGAGGGGGCAAGCCGATCCATGAGGATCAGGTCATGTGAGGCAGGTGGGAGAAAGGTGGGATTCCCACCCTCGATACATGGGGGAAACATGAAGGGATCACAACAACCACTACACTGGAAGAGGAAGAAGCTATTGAGGCGGTGGCGATTTTAGAGTAGGAAAGTTGAAGATGCAAATGATTGAGGAGAATAAGAGTGAGAGTTCAAAAAGTGATACACAAGCTCCTTCCAAGGATAAATTGATCGACAAAGATGGGAATAAAGAGGGCAAAAAAATAAAATTGCAAAGTCAAGTTGATGGTGCTGATCAAAACTTAAGTCTTGTACAAATTGATCCTTCCAAGACATTCACATCCCAAGAACCTCTATTCTCAAAATTCAAAAATAAAGATTTGAAATACACTGAAACCAAGCTAACATATGAGAATAAAAGAAAACTAGTGAAAGCACCTTTGGATTCTACTGGAATGGGTATTTCTAAAAATGGAAATGTTGAGGCTGAGACACAGGATGCAGCTAATACAAAGTTCTCAAAGGATAAAGATGACATCGAATTGATTAAGCCGAAAGATTCAAAGGATGAAATTCAAATTTCGCCTAATAGAGCACACTTCTCGTCTCATGAGTTATGTAAACAAGGTGAAAATTCTGAGATAACAATGACTTATCATGAGAATTTTTTTCATAACATACCTTAGGTTGCCTGCATTCTGAGGTGTCGAGTTCAAACTGAGTCGTCATGTATTAGTCAAGCAATTGGCCTGACCACTTCTCAAGCAGAAATGAAAGTAGATATTACAATGCTGCAAGCTAAGTTTCCATCTTGTGATTCAATTGACCAGCAAAACCATGATCAAGTAGATTGTTTTGAAGGAAGTAAAGTTGTAGATGGGAAGTTGGAGAATGCCATAGATAAGGCATTCCAAGGTGATGCAAATTTGATTACTCTGAAAATTGCTGCAAATTCCATTGAGTCTGGTAAAGATATTAATGGGAAAACATGTGGAACTAGGGAATTCATGAGCAAGGCCGAGGATGAGTTATTATTAAATTGTTCGCCCTCACTAGATCATTACATGGCTTGCATAGGGTTTGAACTTAGTGATGATAGAAATTTTGGAGACTTGACCGTTAAGAAGTGTTTGGAAGAGAGTATACATGTGGAATTTCTTCCTGCAAAAAACCACAATGAGTTTCACACACCTAGGTCTTCTGAAATGCCCGCCAATTTTGTGTCACAAGATGCTCTTGCATATGCCATGAGCATCTTGCATATGCCATGGGACCTGAATCTTATCATAATTCTGAAGGTACTGTAGAGTTAACGGAATCAGAGCTGGAATTGGGCCTAAGGACACTGGTTGTGCCGCTTATGAATTTTTTTGTAAAATGGGAAGGAAAATCAAACAGGTATGACTACTGGATTTCGGAAGATCAATTAAAAGTTCTAGCAATGAGAAAACTTGAGAATTATAAAGCAAAGTATGGAGTGGCTATCGTAAATATATGTGATAAACAATGGTTCTGATCACAACGCATTATTTCTTTGAGTGAATCTGAAAATGGTGGAGGAAAAAGCTTTGGTTAAATGGTGTAGTCTTCCTTATGATGAGTGTACTTGGGAGATATTTGATGAACTTGCCATTCAAAATGCTTCTCATCTTTTTTCTGAACTTAAACAGTTTGAATCTCATACTTTAGACAAAAATGTTAGTGCTGACAGTGATTCAACATTTTCAGATGTTAAAGTCATTGTATCAATATGCAAGAGCAGGAAGAAAAAGATCAGGACAATCCTGGATGACACTGAGCTTGGGGAAGAAACAACGGAAAAAATAGAAACAAAGAAGGGCCAGCAAGAATATATAAGATTTATATAAGCACAAGCTGCTAAGAAATCCTATGGCAAAACTCTAGTAGAAATTAACAGGAATACTTAGCAATCGAAACTCTCAGAATGTCTGATGATCCAGGAGGACTTTTAGATGGACAATACCTTAGTTCCAACTTGAGGACAAGGTGCATTTTTGGGGAGGGAGTATTGATATACTGGGGAGCCCACAACCAGAAATGGGGAGCTGTTTAGGAAGGTTCATAATCAAGAGGTTGTTGTTTAGGAAAGTTTATAATTGAGAAAAATTATTTAAGAATGTTCCTAATCAAGGGGGAAGTTATAATCAAGAGGGTGTTGTTTATGAAAGTTTATAATTGAGAAAAATTATTTAAAAATGTTCCTAATCAAGGGGGAAGTTATTTAGGAAAGTTTCCTAATTTTGTTTATGCTATTTATGAAGTGATTAATTGTTTAGGAAGGTTTCCTAAATTATATTTATGTTGATTAGGAAAGTTATATTTATTTAGAAAGGCTCCTAAATTATGTTTATGCTGATTAGAAATATTATAATTGTACTATTATGTTCTAGGGCTATTTAAGGAGGAGTTTGTATATAGTTTAGGGGGGATATTGCTAAGTTTATTTTCCTAGTGTTTGTTGTAAGTTCCTAGCGGCATCTAAGATTTGTGGGAGAGCTGATCTACTTCTCGAATAGTAGATCAACTGTATATTGCTTTATTATTGAAGGAGAATTAAGAAAATCAATCCTATCTTTTTGTTCCTACGTTGTCCTTCTCTTTTATTTGTTGTTTTTACTTCCAAGGTGTATTAATTTCATGATGAGATAATGTGAAGTTATAAATTGAATTAATAGCAAGTTTATCTCTTCTTAGATGAATTATTGCAATAGCTAGGTTTCATTTAATATTTAGTGGATAAAACTTGGATCTCATTGGATCTTTAAATGTTTCATTATATTTTGGTGGATAATTGTTGTAGTAGATGGATTATAATATATTGAC